ACAACCACGTCTTCTGATACCATTACTAATATCACTACCACCACAACCACTACATGCATACCATTACTACTCGTCACTACCACCACAACCACTTCGGCTACCATTACTACCATCACTACCACCACAACCACTACGGCATACCATTACTACTCATCACTACCACTCACACAAGTACTATGGCTACCATTACTACTACCATCACTACCAGCACAACCACTACATAGCCACCATTACTACTGTCACTACCACCACAACCACTACAGCTACCATTACTACTATCACTACCACCACAAACCACTAGGGCTACCATTACTACTATCACTACCACCACTACAACCACTACGCATACCATTACTACTATCACTACCAATTACAACCACTATGGCTACCATTACTACTACCATCACTACCACCACAACCACTACGGCTACCATTACTACTATCACTACCACCACAACCACTACGGCTACCATTACTACTGTCACTACCACCACAACCACTACGGCTACCATTACTACTATCACTACCACCACAACCACTTCGGCTACCATTACTACTATCACTATCACTACCACCACAACCACTACGGCTACCATTACTACTATCACTACCACCACAACCACTACGGCTACCATTACTACTATCACTACCACCACAACTACTACGGCTACCATAACTACTATCACTACCACCACAACCACTACGGCTACCATTACTACTATCACTACCACCACAACCACTACGGCTACCATTAGTACTATCACTACCACCACAACTACTATGGCTACCATCACTACTATCACTACCACCACAACCACTACGGCTACCATTACTACTATCACTACCACCACAACTACTATGGCTACCATCACTACTATCACTACCGCCACAACCACTTCGGCTACCATTACTACTATCACTACCACCACAACCACTACGGCTACCATTACTACTATCACTACCACCACAACTACTACGGGTACCATTACTACTATCACTACCACCACAACCACTACGGCTACCATTACTACTATCACTACCACCACAACCACTACGGCTACCATTACTACTATCACTGCCACCACAACTACTATGGCTACCATCACTACTATCACTACCACCACAACCACTACGGCTACCATTACTACTATCACTACCACCACAACCACTTCGGCTACCATTGTTACTATCACTACCACCACAACCACTACGGGTACCATTGTTACTATCACTACCACCACAACCACTACGGCTACCATTGTTACTATCACTGCCACCACAACCACTACGGCTACCATAACTACCATCACTACCACCACAACCACAACGGCTACCATTGTTACTATCACTACCACCACAACCACTACGGATACCATAACTACTATCACTACCACCACAACCACAACGGCTAGCATTGTTACTATCACTACCGCCAGAACTGCTACGGCTACCATTGTTACTATCACTGCCACCACAACCACTACGGCTACCATAACTACCATCACTACCACCACAACCACAACGGCTACCATTGTTACTATCACTACCGCCAGAACTACTACGGCTACCATTACTACTATCACTACCATTACAACCACAACGGCTACCATTGTTACTATCACTACCACCACAACCACAACGGCTACCATTGTTACTATCACTACCACCACAACCACAACGGCTACCATTGTTACTATCACTACCACCACAACCACTACGGGTACCATTGTTACTATCACTACCACCACAACCACTACGGCTACCATAACTACTATCACTACCACCACAACCACTACGGCTACCATTGTTACTATCACTACCACCACAACCACAACGGCTACCATTGTTACTATCACTACCGCCACAACTACTACGGCTACCATTACTACTATCACTACCACCACAACCACTTCGGCTACCATTACTACTATCACTACCACCACAACCACTACGGCTACCATTACTACTGTCACTACCGCCACAACCACTTCCCTGGCTACCATTACTACTATCACTACCACCACAACCACTACGGCTACCATTACTACTATCACTACCACCACAACTACTACGGGTACCATTACTACTATCACTACCACCACAACCACTACAGCTACCATTACTACTATCACTACCACCACAACCACTACGGCTACCATTACTACTATCACTACCACCACAACTACTATGGCTACCATTACTACTATCACTACCACCACAACCACTACGGCTACCATTACTACTATCACTACCACCACAACTACTATGGCTACCATTACTACTATCACTACCACCACAACTACTATGGCTACCATTACTACTATGACTACCACCACAACTACTACGGCTACCATAACTACTTTCTATCACTACCACACTACAACCACTACGGCTACCATTGTTACTATCACTCACCACCACAACCACAAACGGCTACCATTGTTACTATCACTACCGCACAACTACTACGGCTACCATTACTACTATCACTACCACCACACCACTTCTTGGCTACCATTACTACTTTATCACTACCACCACAACCACTACGGCTACCATTACTACTGTCACTACCACCACAACCACTTCGGCTACCATTACTACTATCACTACCACCACAACCACTACGGCTACCATTACTACTATCACTACCACCACAAGTACTATGCTACCATTACTACTATCACTACCACCACAACCACTACGGCTACCATTACTACTGTCACTACCACCACAACCACTACAGCTACCATTACTACTATCACTACCACCACAACCACTACGGCTACCATTACTACTATCACTACCACCACAACTACTACGGCTACCATTACTACTATCACTACTAACCACAACTACTATGGCTACCATTACTACTATCATCACTACTACCACAATCACTACGGCTACCATTACTACTTCATCACTACCACCACAACCACTACGGCTACCATTTACTACTGTCACTACCACCACAACCACTACGGCTACCATTACTACTATATCACTACCACCACAACCACTTCTTCTGGCTACCATTACTACTTATCACTATCACTACCACCACAACCACTACGGCTACCATTACTACTTTATCACTACCACCACAACCACTACGGCTACCATTACTACTTATCACTACCACCACAACTACTACGGGTACCATAACTACTTATCACTACCACCACAACCACTACGGCTACCATTACTACTATCACTACCACCACAACCACTACGGCTACCATTACTACTATCACTACCACCACAACTACTATGGCTACCATCACTACTATCACTACCACCACAACCACTACGGCTACCATTACTACTATCACTACCACCACACAACCACTATGGCTACCCTTCACTACTATCACTACCGCCACAACCACTTCATGGCTACCATTACTACTATCACTACCACCACAACCACTACGGCTACCATTACTACTATCACTACCACCACAACTACACTACGGCTACCATTACTACTATCACTACCACCACAACCACTACGGCTACCATTACTACTATCACTACCACCACAACCACTATGGCTACCATTACTACTATCACTACCACCACAACTACTACGGCTACCATCACTACTATCACTACCACCACAACCACTACGGCTACCATTACTACTATCACTACCACCACAACCACTACGGCTACCATTACTACTATCACTACCACCACAACTACTACGGCTACCATTACTACTATGACTATCACTACCACCACAACTACTACGGCTACCATTACTACTATCACTACCACCACAACCACTACGGCTACCATTACTACTATCACTACCACCACAACCACTACGGCTACCATTACTACTATCACTACCACCACAACCACTACGGCTACCATTACTACTATCACTACCACCACAACCACTACGGCTACCATTACTACTATCACTACCACCACAACTACTACGGGTACCATCACTACTATCACTACCACCACAACCACTACGGCTACCATTACTACTATCACTACCACCACAACTACTATGGCTACCATTACTACTATCACTACCACCACAACTACTATGGCTACCATTACTACTATGACTACCACCACAACTACTACGGCTACCATTACTACTATCACTACCACCACAACTACTATGGCTACCATTACTACTATCACTACCACCACAACCACTACGGCTACCATTACTACTATCACTACCACCACAACTACTACGGCTACCATTACTACTATCACTACCACCACAACCACTACGGCTACCATTACTACTATCACTACCACCACAACTACTACGGGTACCATTACTACTATCACTACCACCACAACCACTACGGCTACCATTACTACTATCACTACCACCACAACCACTACGGCTACCATTACTACTATCACTACCACCACAACTACTATGGCTACCATCACTACTATCACTACCACCACAACCACTACGGCTACCATTACTACTATCACTACCACCACAACTACTATGGCTACCATTACTACTATCACTACCACCACAACTACTATGGCTACCATTACTACTATGACTACCACCACAACTACTACGGCTACCATTACTACTATCACTACCACCACAACTACTATGGCTACCATTACTACTATCACTACCACCACAACCACTACGGCTACCATTACTACTGTCACTACCACCACAACTACTACGGCTACCATTACTACTATCACTACCACCACAACCACTACGGCTACCATTACTACATACACCGCTATTACATGATGATGAAGACTGTGTACAACACACAATATACATTCTTATATAGACTATATCATGTAATCTTCATACGTTTTATCCACTCAAAACTTTCATCCACTGAAACAAATCACAAACAAAATGTAATTTTAAAATATTTGAAGAATCTGATTTGATGTAAACATGAGTCGCGTACAAATCCATTTACTATCACTCAGCTGTACACAAATATTATTGTGGGAAGACATATGACAAACAACATACTTTTTTAGAATTTTTTTATAAACAATACATATTATTTATACTTATAACAATTAACCGCATTGCTAAATCACCCACATAACAAACTGCTTCACCGTCAACAGCAGACAAGAAGGTTCTTCTAAATTAATATTCATGTCCGCTTGAAAACGAGGCAGCCTCGACTTGATGCCGTAGTGGTTTCTGTTGGTGGAACGTCATTGAGTTTTGGAATGTCATGCTCCATATTTCGTCACACTGTCACGTGATTGTAGACACGAGAATGACCGACGTGACGTGACGTGATGACGACCAAAGCTGTCACAAATCTCAGATATTGTCATACTGACCTCCTTTACCACACTTTACAGTGAAGAGAAAACCGGCCTGCAATGCAAGGGAGATAATTCATGGGTCGCTATCGCACATGCGTGTGGGATTGCAAAACATCATTCTGCACAATCATGTTTTTTATTCAAGAAAATCTAAACAAAACAGCAGAGATTCTGCTAGAGCCACGCCAAAATAGTGCACTTCATTATATTATGTAAATTAGATGAAATCTAATCATGGTAATTTTGTAATAATCTTCGAAAAACAAATGGTTGGTTGTAGGGCTGGGACGGGTAACCCGGATACCTGGGTAATGAGTTGGACCCGGGTACCCGTCTCAGTACCCGGACCCGTTGTGATCATGTGACTAATAGATCAAACAATGCAATATGTTATTCTTTCATGATTAAAAGGTTGTATTGGCTATGAAGATTAAGACGTAATTACAGTCACTTCTTATGAATATAACACATGGTTAAGATATTGCAAAAACTCGAAATTTTAGCTTCCGATCTGAAGAATATGTTGCCATTTCTTACAAATTTGATGTCAGGAATTAACATAACGGGCATCCGGGTAGGGTAGGATAATAGGGGTGGGATACTCAGGTAGAAAATTTGGACCCGTCCCAGCCCTAGTTGGTTTGTTGTTGACGCCGCACTCAGCAATATTCCAGCTATATGGCGGCGGTCTGTAAATAATCGAGTCTGGACCAGACAAACCAGCGATAAACATCATGAGCACCAATCTACGCAGTTAAGATACGATGACGTGTAGATCGATGCTCATGCCGTTGATCACCAGGTTGTATGGCCTGGACTCGATTAATTACACACCGTCGTCTTATAGCTGGAATATTGCTGTGTGCGGCGTCAAACAACAAAGAACCAAACAACTGCTCTGAGCTTGTCATGACTGTACTTGGTGTGGGGTCTACCTTGATGAGACCTGGGAGGCTGGACCACAGATTGAGATTGGGGATAACCTCCTTGCCCTCCGCTTTCCTCACGAACTTCTGCACAGAGACACCGACAGCAACGTACACCACAAGCAGCGACACAAACCTGGAACACCAGCACATCGTATATATAGTAAGTGCACTGGAGACGGGTGCGGGTTCATCCAGCCAAGCTAAAACAAACACATTATTATGAACATGTCTAGAAGACACAGATGTAAACATCCCGCTTGGCTGCTAATTCGTAAAAAGGCAAATCGTACAGCTCTTCTGGCCTACCCAAAAGAACTCATTCGTCACCACTCGCCACTCGCCACCACTTTCCGTAAAGTGCATTAACCCTATTCGGCTTTTCCCGGAATAACACGAGTTGGTCACAAAAGCCATAGAACACAGCTCCGAAAAACTCTATTTTCTATTGCTTGCTTGTTGTTGAACGCCGCACTTGGCAATATCTCGAGTCTGGACCAGGCAATCCAGTGATCAACAGCAATATCTCGAGTCTGGACCAGACAGTCCAGTGATCAACAGCAATATCTCGAGTCTGGACCAGACAATCCAGTGATCAACATCAACATCTCGAGTCTGGACCAGACAATCCAGTGATCAACAGCAATATCTCGAGTCTGGACCAGACAATCCAGTGATCAACATCAATATCTCGAGTCTGGACCAGACAATCCAGTGATCAACAGCAATATCTCGAGTCTGGACCAGACAATCTAGTGGTCAACATCAACATCTCGAGTCTGGACCAGACAATCCACTGATCAACAGCAATATCTCGAGCCTGGACCAGACAATCCAGTGATCAACAGCAATATCTCGAGTCTGGACCAGACAATCCAGTGATCAACAGCAACATCTCGTGTCTGGACCAGACAATCCAGTGGCAAACCGCATGAGCATCGATCTATGCAACTGGGATACGATGACATGTCAATCAAGTCAGCGAGCCTGATCACCCGGTCCCTTTAGGCGCCTCTTACGACAAGCATGAGTTGATGACGACCATTTCTAACCCGGATCTTCACGGGTTTCATCGCTTTTATCAATTCCCTTGTGGAACAGTCTTGGTATTGGTTTGCCCAGGTACGGAGGATGCCCCTGGTGATAAGGGAGTCATAATGGTTACTTGTCTGAGTGCTTAATGCACAGGCAAAATGGGGAAACAAGTTTGTTACAGCGACACAGACCTTCATATATTTCACTTTTCGTTTGCCAAACAGTAAAAACATTTGGGATACTGCGACCCCATTCCATCGTACCCAAGATTTGTTGTTTCGCCTTAGCGTAAAAAAAGCAAAGCTACAAATACGCCGAAGAGCAGGGTTCGATTCCCCACATGGGCACAATATGTGAAGCCTATTTCGTGATATTGCTGGAATATTCCCAAAAGCGGCGTAAAATTAAACTCACTCACCCCAAATCGTGTGTATTGATACTCTTGTATCATTCCCAAATGCCATATATTGCAAGTGTTTTTTATAACACATCTGACTTAAGTGGACATACAATATGACTGAACGCACTTTACTTTATCGTCAGTAACTTAAAGTACAAACATTTGTCATTACAAAATATTCCTGCAAGAGTTTTTACCGTTGGTTTGTTTGATTTTGACGCCACAATATCCCAACTGGCGGCGGTCTGGAAAAAATCTGATGGACCAGACAATCCAGTGATCATCAGCATCATACGATGCGAAGTTAACTAAGTCAGCGAGCCTGACCACCCGATCCCGTTAGTCGCCTCTTTCGACAAGCATGGGTTACTGAAGATTAATTCTAACCCGGATCTTCACGGGTAGGAACGACATAAGGATTAGGATAAGTCATATGCTCATTGTGATTATTTGTCGTATGTTGGCACATAACGTTCATCGACAGTTGTATTTGTCTTGTTGCTGGTTACGGAAAGGGCCGAGTGATGCCGAGTGCTTCTCATTTCTGACGAGCTCAACACGATCGAAACAAATACAAGACATCTTTCACATCGTAAAGAACTAGCACTTCTTCCTACAAAGAGATTGATAAATCCCAATGCTTGCACGTATACGTTAATACACATTGACGTTGTTATTGTGAAGGAAGGGACTTCCCCCCTAACTGTATACTCACGTTATAACGAGGATGCTTCCTACAGACAGACTGTAGGTTACCGTTACGTCCGAGCCGGATGATTCACAGGCGTACTTGCTTGTAAGTGTCATGAGCTGTTTCAACATATTTAATGAGGACATAAAGGTACTGCAGTTCACCTGCTCTTAAAATGCTTATAAGCAATAATTCCAAACAGCCAGTGATTCACGCGACAGTTACAAAATATTTTAGTCTGACGTTTCTGGGACCCTTTGTATGTTTTTCAGCGTAATTATTTAAAAATTCCACTGGGGGTATGGCAGCAAAGTTACACTGCTGTTCAGAGAGAGAAATATTTCAAAGTAATTTTTTGACTATCTGCCTTGGGATTTAATGTAGCTGAACAAAATTTATTTTATTTGCATATTCAATAAAATAAATCCATTTCATGATTCTTAAACCATGTTAAGATATATATGGAAATATAGATGTTTGGAAATATAAGGTGAATAGCTGGTAATAATTACGCTAGAATAGGTCTTTAACGAATATGTTTTACCATTATTTTAGTTGTATCAAAGAAGTTCCACTCTTAAACAGAAAGATTTAACTAAAAAAATAACAGAACAAGAACAAGAAAAACACCCCCCCCCGAATATAACGAAAAAAACCCAAAACCCTCCACCACCCCAGAAAACAAAAAAAACAACAAAAACAAAACAAAAACAAAAACAAAACAAAAACAAAACAAAAAAACAAACAAAAAACACCAAAAAACACCCAAAACACTAAATACACAATATATACTGGGCACTGAAATACTTTTTTGAGACATGAATGTTCAAACATGTTCTACATTACTGAGAAGAACTTACATATTTTCCGCTACTGGCTGGTTTTTCCCCAGTAGCCTTTAGTGTTCCCTCCACCGTCTTGTCACACACCAGGGTAATGATGGCAGTCCTGCAAGACGACTTGATGTAACGGTGTGCATTATGCGTTGTGCGTTGCACGGTGTGCGGTGTGCGCGTTTGTTGTTTGTGAGTTAAGGTCGCACTCAGCAATATTCCAGCTATATGACGGCAACCTGTAAATAATCTGGGCCAGACAATGCAGTGATCAACAGCATCCATCTACGCAAATGGGATATTAAACCAACGGCCTGTATGTGACCGACTCTGGTTCTGCAATATTGCAGAACAGAATCCTGTGAATGCTGTTATCAGCAATAATCCCTGGGGATCACGCTAGCACCCTCAACAAAAATGAGTGACTTTAGTTTTATGCCGCTCTCAGCAGTATTCCAGAAATATCATGGCGGCACACGTTACAAGAAAAAAGGTTGCTTCTGACCAAACCCGGAATCACAAATGGTCCCTAGATACAGTCAATATAGCTGAACCCCTCAAGATCCGGGTTAGAATTAATCTTCAGTAACCCATGCTTGCTGTAGGTGACTAAAGGGATCGGATGGTCAGGCTCGTAGACTTGGTGGAAACATGTCATCGTATCCCGGTTGATGCTCATAATGTTGATCACTGGATCATTAATTTCACAGGCCACAGTTATGTAGCTGGAATATTGCCTGGTATGCCTTCTTTCATTCACGTGCTGCTCACTTACTTGTGATTCAGAAGGATCAATTTATAATTGCTGATGGTGGTGGTGGTGGAATTGGGTTCAACGCCGTGCTTGAGAATATTTCGCTCATATGACGACGTGCATGCGTGTGTATGTGTATGTGCGGCTGCTTGTACTAGCCCAGACTGAAGCTGGTTTTATAGTGCTAGCCCACTGAGATACCATGCCGCAGCGAAGCATGAATACCCCACGCAGACACATTATACTGACTCCGAGCCGACCAGTCCTTGTTGTACCAACAAGTACCATATTTTAACGTCTTTTTTTGGTATGACGCGGTCGGGGGTCGACCCCGCGACCTTCCGCACTCCGGGCGGACGCTCTAACCACTACACCACCGAGGCGGTCTAATTGCTAATGAGGTATATAACAATAATTATTCAAATTGATTCATTCAAGTCACAACTATTGTAGCAGTATAACTTTTTTCGAACAGAATCCGATCCCTGCACGTTTTTGACGAAATGTAGGGATAACAGGCAAAAACGCCCTACACCAATTAATCAGAGCTGAGATTTGTAAACAATCATATAGGAAGAAGCAATAGTGAAATTTACGTCTGTCGGAAGAACACATGTTACCAAACAGTATAAAGCGGAGATGTACCTGAGAAAACCAGCTTCAAGTTCTGATCCAAGGAACGTCGTTGCCGTGTAGGTCAAGGTCAACGCTCCATTCTTCACTTGGAACTTGGCGCTGTCCTGCGTGCCGATGTTAAAGTAGGCAGGTGGATTGGCGTTCTGGATTTGACACGCCTAGGAAGGAAAGCGGATCTTTGTTGTGAATACATGACACGTTTTATGGATAGCAACTTTTTTTAGTCTTTATACGACGATTCAGAGCTAATTCATTCTGCTTCATCAGGTGAATGTGAAGTGAATACTGAGTATGAAGATCTTTGATACGTTATGCCTGCTAATGGACAGATGGCTACTTATGACGTTTGATGGGCGGTGGGGTAGCCTCGTGGTTCAACCGTTCGCTGGTCACGCCAAAGACCGGGGTTCGATTCCCCACATAGGTACAATGTGTGAAGACCGCATCCGTGGTGTAGTGGTTAGAGCGTCCGCCCGGAGAGCTGAAGGTCGCGGGTTCGTTCCACGACCGCGTCATACCAAAATGACGTTAAAATATGGTCCCTGCCTGGCGCTCGGCATTAATGGGTACAACAAGGACTGGTCGATTCGGAATCAGTATAATGTGTCTGAGTGGGGTATTCGTGCTTCACTGCGGCATGGTATCTCAGTGGGCTAGCACTATAATACCAGCTTCAGTCTGGGCTAGTACAAGCAGCCGCACATACACATACACACGCATGCACGTCGTTATATGAGCGAAATATTCTCAAGCACGACGTTAAACCCAATTTCACCTCACCTCACCTTACAATGTGTGAAGCCTATTTCGCCGTGATATTGCTGCAATATTGCTAAAAGCGGCTTAAAACTAAACACACTCACTGACTCACTTATGACGTTTGAACTATTAAGGTTGCTCACAATGATGAGAAGGAGAATATCCAGTACATCCTCTTAGAATTTATTAAGTACGCTACTGTTCATGCTCACAGGCTGCTTTCTAGTCTGACTGACTGACTGACTGAGTTTAGTTTTACGCCGCTTTTAGCAATATTCCAGCAATATCACGGCCTAGTCGGACATGCAACACCGCAGCATACTATCGTAGTGATCAATACAACAGAAATAGGAACTGATTGTTTTGCTAACAAACAAAATAAAAGACTTCACTTGGAAGACATTCTTGCATGCTACAGTAACACACTACGGTGTATTTCACTTGACGACAGGGTTGGCAGCTAGATCAGCAGAAAGGTGTCTCCCTTAAATGTGTTCTCCATTTGTGCAATAGCGAAAGGCAGAATGTGCGTATCGTAGGTGGAACCAGTTATGTCTCCATGGTGACCGCTTCTCTCAGGATGTTCTAGAGGAATGAACTAGGCGTGACACTGGTTTTAGAAGGCTAGGTTCCAAGGCGTCTGACTCCTTATCACAACCGCTCCAATGTCATAATCTCTAACGAGATGTAACGTCGTTTTGAAGCTAAGCCAGCGATTTTTAACCACGATTGTGTCAAAGACAAAGGGAATCACAGCAGGAGAACTATCTTCGACGAAGTCAATGTTTGGTCCATCAGCTGTCAAGGTGGTGGCGTCGGTGATTTTGAATTCTGAATGAATCCTACCGGAGGGAAACCCCTCTGAAAGTCCTGACCATTACTGATCAATTTCATGTTTATCTGCTAAGGCAACTCGCCAATGCATGATTGTTGCTTGAACATCTTCAGCATTTACAAGGGGCGGTGGGGTAGCCTAGTGGTTAAGGCGTTCGCTCGTCACGCCAAGGACCCGGATTCGATTCACCACGTGGGTACAATGTGTGAAGCCCATTTCTGGTGTCCCCCGCCGTGATTTTGCTGGAATATAGCTAAAAGCGGCGTAAAACCAAACTCACTCACTCAGCATTTACAATATTTGGAATCGTCAAGTTTCGACCTCTCCCCACCTTGAATAAAGACGTACTTGGTAAGCATTATGCAAATCCCTGCGACGGAGGACTGTTTAAGCCACCAGGGGGACGCCTTCCACACGATGTCAGTCCAACCAATCCAGCATTGTGTGAGGACTTTAGAAGGGTTGGAAACCTAAAGCAACGAAATCCATGCCCCGTCCGTCGTTTACAGTTAGGCTTAGAGGTTTCAAATCATCCTTGTGTATTCCAGACACACATGTCATGCCCGTTGGTATCCTTGTGGTAAGAGTAGTCGGAGTCTGAAGGTGGTTTGCATCCTGTGTGTGACATATGCTAACTTTCATTTAATGCTCTTCACCTTTACGGCTTTGGTGGTTGGTGGTTTGTCAGGTCAGACACTATCATGTCTTGCTCTCGTAAAGACCACTCTTACACAAACCATCGGGAGACACATCGGATGTCATTTATACTCTTGATATGTCATTCGAAGGATGTCATCCTCGCACCTTGTGTTAAAATATGCCCGTTACTGGAATGTAACCGTTAAACACCTTAAGGCATCTCAGAATGGTTTAACATGAACTAAGGGGAAAATAATTTTTTTATACCTCTAAGATAATTATATCCCATGTGATTTTCATTTGAGAAAATCTATCATGTTATACAGATATTAAACTGTACGCATAGTCATCACTCAATGAATGCTTCCAATTGTTTAGTTTTAAAAATTATATGTCAACCTTTACAGCACTGATGATGGGTACCACAGACATGTTACCCTTGAAAATAAATAAATTTGCTTTTTGATTCACAAATTGGCTACATTTTTAACATGGTAAGAATCATGTGGTTGGAGATTAATTTCTTACCACAGTCTTCATTGAATCCATTTATGTTTACTGCTATTTAGACCCCAATACCTTTTACAATCTGTTGCAGGAATGAGTGATGGATAAATAGAAATATTCTGACAACAGTTGATTGAGTCTGCTTCACCTTTCAGTTAAGTAAGAAAGTCAGTGTACACATCAGTTTATTCACACGTAAAATATACCAACCCATGTATTACAGAAACTACTGCAAGCTGGATGAAACAGTATTCCAGCTTGTCTGTGGGTTGATTGCTAACAACATAAGATACTCACTGCCACATTCTTACAGCCACCCTCTGTGAACGGTTTACATGGGTTCCAGGAAAATTGGTCTCCAGTCGTGGCCGATATGTCTTTAAACCTGTCAGCAGGAATCAAGAGTTAGTTGGCGGATATGGGAAGTTTATCACTGTTTTGATACAAGTTGAAATGTATTTTCTGGCAGCTTAATGAGGTAAGTTCCAGGTGATGTAGATCAAACTCTAGATGATGCGGGACTTACATGTTTGCCAATATTGTGAATGAACCCCGCAAGGACAGTCTGCCACTTACAAACCAAGAAACAAATTGAGGACGAATCTGGGATTCAAGTCCAAGATTATAAGGTTCTGGGACGTCAAGGGGCGCAAGTCTTTACTCAGAAAACCGACTCCTTAAACTACTGGACCACCCGTTCCCCGATAAGAATAGTTCTGGAGAATATCTCTTGGGTTTCTTATAAGGATAAAACGCTTCTCTTTTATACGCCACACCCCTCACAAAGAATGTCATACAGTACAACCGCAGTTCATCACAGGGGCGGCTGGGTAGCTTAGAAGTTGGTGTGTCGGCTCTCCAAACTGGAGACCGGTTTCGATTCCATATAAGAGTACAGTGAAATCACATTTGGGTGTCCTGCAGAGTGATTCAATCTGGGTATATACGGCCTGTAAGTCTCGCGAGGCGCTGCTAGTGGTTCCCGGCTCCCTTTGTGCACGCCAACTTGCGACATGCGAGACGGGGCCCAGCTTACTTCCGGTACCAGATTTCCGGTGACAAGCATACATTCAAGAACCAGTTCTCGTTCCAAATTGCGCGACCGCTAGAACGGGCCAAATGTACGTTGTTCGTCACCGTGAGTACTAAGGTCTCGCGAACTACCGTGACCTACTTACGGGCCCTATTTCTGAAACCGTAAAACTTTCACTTTAGTGGCGCGAGTACTTACCGTGGTCATCTTCCAGTCATGTAATTAGCGGGAATATTCCTAAAACGGCGTAAAACGACATTCACAGTTTCACATTTGCGGAATGAGTACTCACTGTGGACCTCCGTTTTTTCGCCAAGGGAGATAAGTCTACCATGCCATTGTCTCCCATACAAGAACATGCGCTCGTCTTAGCACAAGACTTTATACATTCAACTTGAAGTACGTAAAGTATGATAGCAATGAGAAAGGTAATTCCTCGTTTCATGGTTAGATGTCCAGACTAGCACTCGAGGTGATGGCGGGTGTGTGAGATCACGTGATCACGTGATCACGTGCAGTACATGATTGGGAGTCGTGTTACAGTGCATATAATTGGGAGTGTACTTGAGACGATTATAGCTTAACACTAGGTTCGGGTTACAGCTACAGTTCATTTCGGGTACATTCTTGTCGCTCACATTGAGCTGGGTGTTACTAACGTGTTAGAAAACGACCTTTAATATTATCGGCGGATCTGAACGTCGCCGAACAGTTATATTTATATGTGAGTGAGTGAGTTTAGTTTCACGCCGCCCTTTAGCAATATTCCAGCTATATTACAGCGGGGGACACCAGAAATGGGCTTCACACATTGTACCCGTGTGGGAATCGAACCCGTGTCTTCGGCGAGCAAATGTCTTAACCTCTAGGCTACCCCACCGCCCCTATTTTTAGATAATATTGAGGTGAAATTGTTTGTTTCGAAATCATCTCAAACTGTAAATCTATTGTTCTTTTATGATCGCTATCAACCACACCGTCAACATTGAGTCGTAAATCAGTCATTCAGCTGTGTTATGGAACAGTGGTAGCCTAGTGGTTGAAGCATTCATTCGTCACGCCGAAGACCTGGGTTCGATTCCCTACATTTGGTGCCACGTGTGTAGACCATTTCTGGTGTCCCCGGATGATATTGCTGGAATAGTGCGGCGTAATACCGTACTGATCCACTTCTGTCTTGGAGAAATCATGTATTTCTGTCGATTCAATTCCCGGAATCACTTCTGGAATCTCTTCTGGAATCAAGTTTGGATTTATCTCTCAGACCTACACCATGTTGCGTTTGAAACATAATTCTCAATAATTTTACATTTTGTTCTCTTCTTGCTTCAATTTTACTTGTTTGAAATGAACGTCCAAATGTGAATTAACTGTAACACAATTACTTTGACGTCATCACCATAGTTGAATACGAAATATTACATTTCAAGAGATATCGATAATTTCACCTAGTTTGTGACAATGACGAAATTAATTTCATTTGGCAGTGTGCAGCTATATTTTTTTCGTAAGTTTATATTTACGAACTACTCGAAGTTCTTCTCGAAGTTCTGCATATAATGAGAAGTGTAAATCTGGACCCAGATGCACAGAGCGATCTTATCGCTTAAGACCGTCTTATGTCTATGTTAGAGTATGGGAGACGATCAACCTTTGGGCAAATGGGTCTAGTAAGTGCATGTATTAGCCTTGACTGCCTCTGAAAATCCTTTTTAGAAGAGTTAGCTTCGCTTGCAGAACGTTCTAGACTTACACTAAATGCTTTGTAAATTAATATACATTATTTACCTGAAACAATAACTAATACAGTTGACTTTGATTATGTTTCATGTTGTTGTTACTGGTATGTACTAAACGGTTAATTAAAGAGTGAACTCACAGTAATATCCACTTTCAGTGTTGAATACGATGGGATACGATGACTTGTGTCAACCAAGTCAGCGAGCCTGACCATCCGATCCGTTAGTAGCCTCTTACGACAAGCATGGGTTGCTGAAGGCCAATTCTAACCCGGATCCTCACGAGTTCTCACATTGAACCCTGTAGGGAATCAAACCGGAGTGTCTCTATCATGATAAAGAATGCATATGAACGCTTGTACATACTCCTTGTTGTTCACATAAGATGACAAGTAAAGGTGGTTACACATCAACAGGTACAGTGTACAGACATGGTCAGTCTGATCCACGATCTATCAAGGTAGGAGGTGAGGCGTGTGGTTTTCAAATTATTATGTCTCAAAAGTTATCCTGTGTATGCATCTATATATATAGTCTTACCTGCACATACACAGAAACACACAAACATACATGACAAGCAACCATGGGCCTCCTCAAGTGGTAACTGCTCAGAGGTGGCAAGTTTTTTGTTTGCAGAATTTCAGCCTTTATGGATATTGATGATAGTATATGAGTAACAACATCTCTGTGCTTGACTTATAGTGAGGACGTACTTATGCAAACTTAAATCCGTCCTCGATCAAATTACATTTATCGCAGATTAGGCATTTTGGATCATATGTTTTACTGAAGTGTTTCACCTGTATGTTTAAACCACGTGATTTGGCTGGATCTTTCTCAAAATTACACATAATGTATAATCCACGTTCTCAGTAATGATTTATATGATCTAGAATATCTGTGAAATGCAGGAGTATCTATTATTTTATTCCAAGTCTGGATTTGAATATCAATGTATCTGCCGAGTAATATGACTTATTATTCATATGATAACTCATCAGCATATTCTGTGGCTACCCATGCATATTAAATCCAGAAGAAGAATGAGGACTATTTTATGGATATACAACTTCTTTATTCTGTATAGGCGACGTTTCGACATAGATTCTAATGTCGTTGTCAAGCAAGTGGTACATGAGAGTTAATATTGGGTGATATATATATATATATACATGAGATATGTTTGAACAATAGATGAGGGATGAGTCGAAATTGAGTTGTTTTTATAATAGAAGAGGTTGATAACACAGGATAAAGTAGGTATATAGGAAGCCAGTAAAGGAGATGAACATGGTTGTATATTACATGAGAGATTAAGGATGTTGATGGGTGGCCAGTAGTGAATGATGTACATAGGTTGTTTACATAAGTGATAAAGGGACTATTGGAAAGCCAGTGGTGAAGTGATGCTTACACAATGGATAATGTACAGTGTTAGACAAGGGAAAATGTACAATGGCTGAGTAGGTTTACATGTAATTAATTCAGCAAGTGATGATAGGCCTTGGGGATATCTCATGTACATATATCACCTAATAATACCTCTCATGTACCACTTGTTTGACAACGACATTAGAATCTATGTCGAAACGTCGCCTATACAGAATAAAGAAGTTGTATATCCATAAAAATAGTCCTAATTCTTCATCTACCCTACTACCCGTGAGGATCCGGGGTAGAATAGGTCTTCAGCAACTCATGTTTGCCACAAAAGGCGACTATGCTTGTCGTAAGAGGCGACTAACGGGTTTAGGGTGGTCAGGCTCACTAACTTGGTTGACACATGTCATCGGTTCCCAATTGCGCAGATCGATGCTCATGCTGTTGAGCACTGGATTGTCTTGTCCAGACTCGATTATTTACAAACCGCCGCCGCCATATAGCTGGAATATTGCTGAGTGCGGTGTAAAACTAAACTCACTCATTCACTCATCTACCCAACTTCTAGAATGCCAATCAAAGAAGTATTAAAATCCAGTTTGAAGCAATAACAATTTCACATGCGTCACCCAATTTAAGTCTCCATCCAAATCAGTCCAAATGGTATGTCAATAATTTATATATATTAAATATCAATAATTTGGTTTAATGTCGCTACCCCCTGGCATATACGACATACCACACCTGCCAGGATACTGATGTAAACGTGCGCATTTCTGCAACATTTCCAAACATATACATCCAAAGCAAACATGTGAGTATAATCCAATGACGTGGATTACTTGGAAATGAATGCATTTACATCTATACCAACTTTGTTTAAAATCGTTGTTTTTGTCAATAAGAATGAGTGATGTTTGGTAGACACAGTTATCACATTACATTTCATGAACTACATTGTAACTTGCTTCAATATCTACTTTATGGTCATTTCCATAATATATTTAATAACAAAATGATAAAAATGCCCAACGCAAACACATTTAGACACAAACTGTACTTGCTTATCTGTGTATGGCATCAGTGTGCTTCGATACACTTTGTCTAAAACCTTATCAGTAGAAAACAATTTCAAACAAGTTTTGGATTCAAATATTTTAAGGCATCAAAACGCGTTTATAATTTTCGACGAGTATTCTCTTTTGTAGAGTCATTTTTCAGGGGAGATTATTAAATACCCGATTCTAATATAAAGACAGATATGATGTCATATTCCTAATAATTAGCTGTAATAATGATAAAGGTCACGTCATGATATATTTGGAACTCGCAATTTTGAATTGTAGAGATGTAGAGACACGTATATGCTGAGGCTACAAATCTTTATTCTTGTACATGTACATTGACATAACATTACAATTCTGAATTTATCATTCACAGACATTAGCTAGAACATGTTTAACAATCACAACAATCTGAACGAAGACCTGTACACCAGTCAAGCTTTTAAACACGACATGTTTGTTTTGTTAAACACGTTAATGACCATCGAACAATGTTGATTCGCCGCCAACAAGGTTGATGTATACCGCTAAGTTGCTGAGCTGACACTGAGCTGACACTGAGTGAGTTCGCTAATCACGTTGTTAATTGGGGCTTGGGGGTAGTAAATCAGTTGGTTCAGGCTCACGACGCCGACCTTTCGACTCAACTTTACGGTTGGGTGCAATCTGAAGGTCGACGTCCTGAGACTAGTTTCACTTTGCCACTTAATAATGGATTACGAGGACAATGCAGGATCAAAGTGTTGTTAGAGGAGGATAATCCGGATTATGCGGATGAGAGCGCACCTAATGAGAAGATGACAACAGATGACAGATTTTTATTAGTTGACAGATTTTAGCATTTTTAATAAATACATCGTAAATTCATATAGCATACATTTTTTCAAAGATTTTAACCTAAATGCAATAGGTGGGATGCTGAATCAGCAAACTGCCCCACGGACAGTGTTCCTTGTTCAAGCTGGTGACAGATGTTATCCAGTCGTCGCTCCAAATCCCTGTATTTCCTCTTTTTGGAGGGACGCTTCTGGCCAGCAGCATACTGGACTAGCTTGTTTTCGGTGTTGGTCTGTTCACGTGACAAGAAGGACACAATCTCGAAAATGTTTGGATGAGCCTTGCCGACGTATTTCTTCAGGCGTGAATGCCATCCTTCTAGGTGGTTGTTTGTTCTTGGCCCATCTGAGTTGTGGTGGTTCCATTGCGTCATGTGCAGATCTCCCTCCACCCAGAAGTTGGTCATGTAGTCCCCGAGCTGTCGGCACCGGTCATCATCTGGCATCGTCGCCAAGGTATCCAGCCACAGGTCCTCTACCTGAAGAAGAAAAGATACATAAATTAATGTTACTGAATATACAGGGCAAAATAACACCTTTGTTACACAACCTATTGGGGTGGAGTTAACTATTTGTTTTAACATAACTTACCTCCTGTGCTGGCACCAAAGGCAAGACGGCACATCTCCGGACGAACCTCTTGATCTCGTCATCAAAAAGCAAAGAATTATTAACCATTTATTAAGCATCTGTTATAAAATTCCAAACTTTTCCATTTATTAAGCATCTGTTATAAAAATCTGTGGCAATAACAAAATTTATACATATATAAGAATTTAAACTCTTACCTTAATATCACGCGTGACAGCTTGATGATTGTGTTCATCGTTCACCATGGTGACGATGTCATTCGTTGTTGATGCTGTGGATTTGCAGCCTTTTGCAGTACATATCCAAGATATCCAGTCTCGTTTTCTCTTGCTGACTCTGTACATGAACCCGCCAACAACCAAGTAACGACCGCCGCGGGCTGTAGGGATGAATCTCTGATCTAGCTGTGCATTTGCCATTTCGAAATCGAATGTGAATCCTTTGGCCGTTCCATAGATATTTATACCAAAGATATGAACATTGTTCAATATTGGCACTCTGCTAAGTGTTATTGTAAACTTTTCAAGTGACATGAGTTCACCCTCAAGTGACCCGTGCATGTGCGACGAGTTCACCTTATCAAAACATCTAGAGTAGATTACCCTAAGCCTAATCAGAACCTAAACTTCAAAGAAAACCGCAGGTCGGCGTCCTGAGACTAGTGGAAAATCGAAAAGGTCGGCGTCGTGAGACGCTATAGCCGTTAATTCGCTACTCACGAGTTCGTTATTCGCGTATAATTTTAATGATATTATAAAGGACTGTTGACAGGACTTTTAAATTTGTTCGCTATATCCGTTTGTACGCTATATCCGTGTTCGCTATATCCGTGTTCTACTGTACGTGGAAACTTGGATCTCCGTGATATGTTACCAATTACGTCATTACGTCACTGACGTGGACGCTGCACGCTAACGAGCCACTGCTGGTAACATAATGCAGTTACATTACCAAACCACCGAAATACATGCTAGTTTCTGTCAATATGGTAATAATTAGTGGTGGTCCAATTGATTGAAGATTGGTCGTAATGACTAAACGACCAAGCAATCGATCACATTTTTGTCATAATCGAACACAAACAATTTTGGAACCTTTGTTTGCATTGACAATATTTATCACAAGGTTGGTTTTGTTTGTTGCGTTTCATAAGCACTACAAGCTCGATCCAAGTCATGGTTACAATTTATCTTGAAGACTCCAGGAAATTTATGTTCCTAACATATTAGTTATCCTTTAAAGACACGAAATTTGCCAAAACAACAGAAAGCACTACATGTTTTTTTCTTCATTTTGTGTGCATTAACAAATATAACCAAGTCAATTTGATAAATAACGCTAACCAACTATTTTCGATGATTGATCGGATGTAATGAACCAATCATCAATTATAAGATTTTAACCAATTCCCAACACTAGTAATAACCCATTTACCTATGTCCGAACATTTAGGAGAGAGTAAAACATGGGATACATCTAAACATGGTCATACGATTTTCAAGGGTATTTAAAGAAGAGTCATAAATGAACACCATTTACAATTATTTCAGATGTTATTAATATATAAAAACGATGGCCATATAAACACACCTTGTCATATCTGTTCATAGTCTCCCAACCCATGAAGATCCGGGTTAGATATTTCATGACGGCCAAAATGTTGAAATGGGCGGCCAAACGTTAATCATTTGGGCCTCGGATGATACGTTCATTTCCAAACATGGTTAATTTGGGAAAAACGGTCTTCGTGTGGTGAAAGTGACCGTTGGCCCAGTGCCCATTCCGTGTAGTAATTCATCAGACTCTCACATATTTTCTGCCTCCGGCTTTCTGGTGAGGTTCCATCACACAGATGTGATATGATGTAGGGATACATGACATAAAACAATATTCACTCACTCAGAGATCAAACCCCAATGAAACGAAGACATAATGTATGTAAAACTTTGTTTTATTTCACGTTTTCATACGGGGAAACGTGACAATGACACTGTCTCAAGAATTAGCCTGAAGCTCACATTAAATACAACAAAACAAACAAAACCCAAAACCCAAAATAGTGCAACAGAAAACAATAGTACAACAAATAGTACAACAGAAAACAATAGTACAACAAATAGTACAACAGAAAACAATAGTACAACAAATAGTACAACAGAAAACAATAGTACAACAAATAGTACAACAGAAAACCAAACAAACAAACCCCATAATCCGGATAAAAACGTTCCAGTTTCTTGTGACTTATTGTAAAGCTGGTTGGTTATGGGGCGGTGGTATTTTATAGTTTTGGTTTTTGCTTACATGCCTATGAAAATAGTATTGACTCTCGTGTACCTCTTGTGCTTGATCAAATACACTTTCGCTCATGAAAATAAATGTAATGGCAACAAAACCACGGCTTATACCGCTACAACAGCTTGCGAATATGACGTATTGTGACCAGCGTTACCATTGTAATAAATACATCCAAGAAAGTGGGGAAAAATGTATTTAAGAAAAATTCAAATAAATTATTTGTGTTGTCTCCATGCGTGTATGACCGTTAACGCCCTTTGACCCTTTCTATCCCTTCCCCGACACTTTTCCTCATTTCTGCATCAGTTAACATTAACAAGCTGACATCAGTATCTCCGAAGAATTTGACTAGCCCATACACATTAGAATAGCGGTCGACTCAAGCTTGGGTGGTTGGTTGCGTGGAGGTGGGGGTCACGGATCTGTCCTTCACTTTCCTCCAATCACATATGAGCCCCAAAATAACTCCGTTTATATATAAGGAGGCTGCGGGGTAGCCTAGTGGTTAAAGCGTTCGCTTGTCACACCGATTCCCCACATGGGTGCAATGTGTAACGCCCATTTCTGGCGTTCCCCGCCGTGATATTGGCTGGAATATTGCTAAAAGCGGCGTAAAACCAAACCATTCACTCTCTTATAGATGGTATGACGAGTATCCATGTAATCATTGTCGGATTAAATGTCAAATTTCAAACCCATGTTCCCTAAATAGCGGTACGAATTTCGCGGAATTGGCTGCATCCGTGCGCCCAGATGGAGCCAGCAATGGAGCAATGGGTGGAGCCAGGAGCTAGATGTTGTCGTACGTCTTGCTGGTTGACCGCCGTCCACAAAGGCTGACCGTGAATAACGCACCATCCTAAAATCAGAGGATGTTCTGAATCTTTTTAAATATAGAATATATGGTACATTGTAGTTGCATGATGACCCATATTCGTTGAGAAAGTTATGTTGATATTTGCCGATGTACGTTATCTAAAACGTATACGGAGCAGAGGTTATTTATTATCTTTGGAGATCGGCCACTGGAACAATTCTGACAAGAGTTGCACAAAATCTGACCTTCCTTTAAAGGAGAAAGAGAAATCTATTTATCCATGTTGTATAATACTAAAAATAATATTATCCAAACGTTCACTAACTTCATGTTACACTGCAATCAAAATTAAATATTTTAAGAGTCATGGATATCACAAAGACTTCAATTGTCAAGTGTGTTTGTGCTAATGTCCAGCTGTTATCCACCAAGCACGTACAAACAATTGAAGGCGACAGATGAGCATATTTGTTTGTTTGTTGTGTAACGCCGCACACAGCTATATTCCAGCTATATGTCGATCTGTAAATAATCGAGTCAGGGCCAGACAATCCTGTGATCAACATCATGATTTTGCCTCAGACGTGATGGGGCCAGTGGAGATCCGGGGTAGAATAGGTCTTCAGCAACCCATGCTTGTCGTAAGAGGCGACTAACCGGATCGGGTGGTCAGGCTCGCTGACTTGGTTGACACATGTCATCGGTTCCCAATTGCGCAGATCGATGGTCATGCTGTTGATCACTGGATTGTCTGGTCCAGACTCGATTATTTACAGACCGCCGCCATATAGCTGGAATATTGCTGAGTGCGGTGTAAAACTAAACTCACTCACTCACTTAGACGTGATGGCGAAAAACATGCAAAATCCATCCACCTTTTAACATTACGCCGGAGTTTGTTTGTTTGTTGCAAACAATATTCCAGGTATAAGGCGACAGTCTGTAAATAATCGAGTCAAGCAAAGAAACAAAGAAATCATGTCTTATTGTGTGCCTGGTCGAATGTATTCACCCTCGTCATGACAAGCAGTTGTCATAATAGAGAAAAAGCTATGAGTGAGTTTAGTATTACGCCGTTCTCAGCAATATCCAGCTGTATGGCGGCGGTGTGTAAATAATCAAGTCTGGACCAGACAATCCAGAGATCAACATCATGAGCATCGATCTGGGATAGATGGCATGTGTCAACGAGCGAGTCTGGTCACCCGATCCCGTTAGTCGCCTCTTACGACAAGCATGGGTTACTGCCTAACAATGTCAGTTCACAAACCAATGTCACTTCATCTGCTTTTCTCTTTCTTCACCACCAATGACCAATGTGTGTTAAGTGTTGTCCAAAAGAAACCTTTGAGAAATCGGCTACCCATTGTCCACTCATTTATGTGGACAGGAGCTCAGTCTCACCCAGGTTTAATGACAAGCAAGCATGAGTAGGATTTTACGGTACAATATTCCAGCAATATCACAGCAGTGGACACTTAGAAGAGCTTCATATGTCTACCAATGTGCCTTCTGCATGATGAGTGATCGCTTGGAAACCACTAGGCCACCCTAACGCCCCAAATACATGGTGAGGTGTCTATCACTTGGTATATGAGAGGACCAGTGAAGATCCGGGTTAGAATTGGTCTTCAGTAACACAAGCTTGTAAGGAACCGACTAAGGGGATCGACTCGCTGACTTGGTTGATACATGTCATCGTATCATGCTCATGCTTTTGATCACTGGATTGTCTGGTCCAGACTCGATTATTTAAAGGCCGCCGCCATATAGCTGGAATGTTGCTGGGTGTGGCGTGAAACTAAACCCACTCACTGGTACATCAGAGATTCGTATACAGTGTATACAGCATTATATATCATTGCTAATACCGTTATATACTCACCCTGATAAGTCCAGGTAGACCTACCCAGAACGAATAGTTGGGGAAGATCTCTCTCCCTTCTGCCTTCCTCGCGTATTTCTGGAAGCCAACCCCCACACAGATATAGAGAGCTGCACCCACTAACAGACTGCAACAAAGGATTGGCATTACTAGTGAGTGACCCTCACGCTTGCCTTTCAAGCGTAGTACAGGCCTTAACAAAGTATTTTGAGATCGCCAAACTGACGCGCGTATTTCAGAAATCTTACTCCACAATTATTATTCGTCACTTGGTTGTGCGTGAATTAAGTTTTACACCGCTTTAAACTCCAGCAATTTCTCGTCGGGGGACACCTGAAATGGGCTTCACACATTGTACCCATGTAGGGAATCGAACTAGGGCCTTCGGCGTGAAGTGTGAACGCTTTAACCGTTAACCCCACCGCTCCACGTCACGACGAACCATGTGGGACAGAATGAAACATACCATTTGTCAAGAGCCTAGTCCTTGTATATTTGTTGTTTTTAATAAACAATGACGCTTATTTAAGACACATTTGATGCGAAGCTGTCCCTGGTCATGGTCAGATGGTGAGGGTAGGGTTTGAGGATATGCTGCGTTATACAAGATATCTCGTGACGTGTTAAAAGTTAAATTACACGATGACAAACTGTTATTATGATCATGTATGTGTAGTAAGTTGGTGTGGTCTTGAGTTGATTTTAGCGCCGATTTGGACTGCGCTTCATCTAGGTATATTACAACGTGTCTGCTTCATGTGGGAGGAACGCCCGAAGTTACGACTGCGGTGAAATTCACCGGCAGGGGTAAATGATGACAAACCAAGATAAATAGGTCTAGGATCTCTCCCTGTCCCGCTCTTTCCTCTTTATCCGCCTTTGTCTCTTTATGCCTCCAGACTGGAAAATTGCTGAATTCACTCACTCACTCACTCTTTCTGCCGCTCATTTTGTTTCTCTCCTTCTGTCTCTCACGTTTCTGTCTTCCCTTCTCTCCCAATACCCGATCTCCCTTTCTCTAAATCCCTCCCCCACTCTGTCTTTCTCTGCCTCTCTCACTCTCCCTCGCCCTACCCATTGTCTCTACCCGTCTTAATTTTTTTCTCTCTCTCCCTCTTCGACCTATTATATGTCTCACTATCTATCTCTCCACTCTTCCGCGTGTTTCTGACTCAATTTCCTTCTCTCTCCTTCTCTCTCTCACACCCTATCCACCTTGCTGCCATTCTCTCTACATCTTCCTCTGTACGTCTCCCTCCCTCTCTCACTTTCTGTTTGTTTGCCTGTACCCTCCCCACTCCCGTGCAACCCCCTCACACACACACACACACATACACCCCCTAGTAAAGTCGCTGAGTATAGTAACCACGCCTACTGCCGCGCAGCTCATGGTGCTCACATGATGTCCAGGACGGTGCCGACAGAGATACCTCCTTCAGAGGAAGGGATGGCCTCACATGCGTACTTGCTGGTCAGGGTCATCAGCTGGAGTGAAGAATGTGTGGTGGTCCGTTAGAGGTCCGTTAGAGGTTAGGGATTTGTGTGAGAACATCATGGTCAAAATGGGCATGTTCCCGCACGGACGATTTGTTTTCTGGGATAAGCTAAATTTTTCGCTTAAATACCACCCCGCTTTCTTTTAATTCCAAATTACATCATATTGTTCCACAGTAATATTATGTTTCAAAGCAAAAATCGATGTGCATTGACTTAACGTTAACTCACATAAACTGCACTTCCGGCTGGTGTCTCTCCATCAACGGTTAGCTCCCCTGGATCATTGCTTTCGTCACAGACTAATGATACTTTGGTGGTTCTGGAATAGCAGAAGTATATATTTAGAATTGTCTGCAAAAGAAATGATTTATGCTGCATAAACTAAGGTGTTAAAGTAAAAGCAGCCCACTCATTAAGACTCCCGAAAACAGAGGGGCAAACGTGCGTGTCTTAGTGTGGATTCTCCACGAATTGACAGCTCGTGTCTCAGTATGGTTTTACACGTTCTTTTAGCAATATTCCAGCAATATCACGGCGGGGAACACCAGGAATAGTCTTGACACATTGTACCCATGTGGGGAATCGAACCCGGGTAGCGGGTAAAGGAGCTGGCATCCTGTATTACCTTTCGTTCAATGTGAGAAAGTGCGATACAATCTGCGGGCATCAGTGATTGAGTGTGTGAGTGAGTTTAGTTTTACGCCGCTTTAAGCAATATTTCAGCAATATCACGGAAGGGGACTGAAGGCATCAGTAGGTCTGCTTGCCGAGGGCATCACCCATTCAGCTACTCTTTGCCGCTAGCTTTAATAAGCCACACCGCATGGTTAACCTGAGAGCAGTCATTCGCTTTGCCGGCGTATATAGGGCCCGTAAGAAGGACACGGCACTTCGCGAGACCTTAGTTCTTCCGGTGACAAACATCGTTTCATACCATTCGAATTGTCTCAGGCTTGTCAGTAGACAGTAAGGAACCGTTAATCCTTGCAGGAATAACAAATTTCCGATCTAACCATTCCCAAATTAGCCAACTATAGCTTACGACTGTCAACAGCTGTGACAGCCAAGCATGGTTGTACACTTCGTCCGGTCTAGTAGAGTCATATTTGGCGGTCGCGCAATTTGGAACCAGGGCCTAAATTTTCGAAGCTCTCTTAGCGCTAAGATAGTCGTAAGTTAATGTTAGGGTATGGCACTTACGACTATCTTAGCGCTAAGAGAGCTTCGAAAATCTAGGCCCTGAACTGCTTCTTGAATATACGCTTGTCACCAGAAATCTTGTACCGGAAGTAAGCTGGGCCCCGTCTCGCATATCGCAAGTTGGCGCGAGCAAAGGGAGCCGGGAACCAGCTTAGTACCGGAAGTAGTGCCTCGCGAGACTTTACAGCCCCTATTGTGCATTACGTTTATACTCACCTGGCTGTGTTTGGGGCCCCAGGTTGATCAAAGAATGTGTCAGCATTGTAGGTGAGCTTCAGACCCTGATCAATACTGAAGGTTGCGCTGTCTTGGGACCCAATGTTGAAATAGGACGGGGGGATGAGATTCTGTATTTGACAAGCCTGAAAGACAAACAACACAAACGTTGGAGTGAGTGAGTGAGAAAGGTTTTGCGCCGCTTTTAGAAATATTCCAGCAATATCAGGGCGGGTTACACCAGAAATGGGATTCACATATTGTACCCATGTGGGGAATCGAACCCAGGTTGGCGTAACGAGCGAACGCTTTAACCACCAGGCTACCCCCCAACCTCCCAACCGTTGGAAACTCCGTACACGCATTTAGCCGCTTCGCAAGGCAAGGATGTACACTCGCCCGTGTCAAAGTCTAAATCAAATCATGTTATTCTTCACTATATGTCTGTTCAATATATGGCAGTGGACACATTCGCAAGACGGCGGGCGATTTGTTTTCTAGTTATACTTTTATCCAAAATACCACCAAATGAGGTGGTCAGGCTTGGTTAACACATGTCATCGTATCCCAATTGGGCAGATCAATAATATGATGTCAATCACTCGAATATTTACAGACTGCCCTCAAACAAACAAAGAGGTGAGGTGAAATGGGATTTAACGTCGTACATTTCGCTCATATGACGACGTGCATACGTGTGTGTATGTGCGGCTGCTTGTACTAGCCCAGACTGAAGCTGGTTTTATAGTGCTAGCCCACTGAGATACCATGCCGCAGTGAAGCATGAATACCCCGAGCCGACCAGTCCTTGTTGTACCCATTACTGCCGAGCGTCAGGCAGGGACTAACGAGCAACATATTTATCGTCTTTTGGTAGTACGCGGCCGGGGATCGAACCTGAGACCTTCCGCTCTCACGGCGGACGCTCTTACCTCTAAACCACGGATGCGGTCTAGCAAACAAAGAAACAAACAAATCATGTCTTCTTCAGTCACAATGGCGAAAAAGTTTAGTTTTACGCCGCACTCAGCAATATTCCAGCTATATGCCGGTGGTCCGTAAATAATCGAATCTGGTCCAGACAAGCCAGTCTTCAACAGTATGAGCATCGATCTGCGCAGTTACGATACGATGCCATGTGTCAACCAAGTCAGCGAGCTTGACCCCCCGATCCCGTTAGTGACACGGAATGGGTCAGTAAGTTTAAATCTCACTTGCATTTTACTACAACTGATGGACAGATATATGAGGCTGCATTAACATTTCATGGAGATTGTACCGACAATCAATGCCGTTTCACGGGGTTGAAATTGGATGAGGTGAGTCTAATAAACGTAAAAAGCGTGACTGACCGCTACACCCTTGCACTTTCCTTCTGAGAATGGCTTGCAGGGATTCCAGGAGAACTTGTCCCCGCTGGGTGCTGGAAAGTCTTTAAATCTGCAACAGTGGAATGCATGAGGACAAGTTCAAGGTGGTGGTGGTGTCACCGAAAAACTAGACGCGGGCATGTGCAGATCACTATTAACACTAGACGTGTGAATATGCAGACAACTGTAAATACTAGACGTGTGAATATGCAGACGACTGTAAACACTAGATGTGTGAATATGCAGACGACTGTAAACACTAGACGTGTGAATGTGCTGACTATTGCAAATACTAGACGTGTGAATATGCAGACGACTGTAAACACTAGACGTGTGAATGTGCTGACTAATGCAAATACTAGACGTGTGAATGTGCAGACGACTGTAAATACTAGATGTGTGAATATGCAGACGACTATAAACACTAGACGTGTGAATGTGCTGACTAATGCAAATACTAGACGACTGTAAACACTAGACGTGTGAATATGCAGACGACTGTAAACACTAGACGTGTGAATGTGCTGACTATTGCAAATACTAGACGTGTGAATGTGCAGACGACTGTAAATACTAGACGTGTGAATGTGCAGACGACTGTAAACACTAGACGTGTGAATGTGCAGACGACTATAAACACTAGACGTGTGAATGTGGAGACGACTGTAAACACTAGACATGTGAATGTGCAGACGGTTGTAAACACTAGACGTGGGATTGTATATCTTGTTACAGCACTGTTTATATGATATAGCACTGTCCGTACAATGACATTCAACTCCCGTTCACTGAATTGACAAACAATATCTGAACCTGTTTGTTAATAGGGTCTTTCCAGAGGTTCAGGCATCTTTCAATTTTATCACCCTCTCAAATCTACAAGAAACGTCCTTTCTAAATACGTAGCTATCAAGAACAAAACAATTAGATTGAAAATTCCATTGACTCTAATGCAAAATATCACGTATATAGTTAAAGTGTGAGATTCACAAAATGCACACAGACAGTGATTTGAGAACATGGGTTGTATTAAGCGAGGCGAATGTAAAGGAGTGGTTTATTACCTGGGTCCATTTGTGCCTGTGAGAGGAGTCAAGTCCACCACACCTTTGTCGGTTTTACAGGAACAAGATGTTAGTTTGTCACATTTTGTAATTTCTCCGAACGAGACCAGGGGTAGGACTGTTAATGAAATCGCCAGGATCACTTGATAACGAGTCGCCATGTTGGGAGAGGTATTGAAACGACCTGTCCTAGGGTTCGAGTCATGTGATGGAGGTGTGTAGCAGGTGGCTTGAGTTTCACACATGGGAATTGATACCGGCTGTTAGTTGAATGGTTTAATGATGATGAACTGAGATGGGCATGCCGCATTGATTTCAGTTGTATCAATGTATCAATTACAACAGAGGATTAGGACAGGGCCCACGCAACCCATCCCCCATTGTATGTATGTATGTATGTATGTATGTATGTATGTATGTATGTATGTATGTATGTATGTATGTATGTATGTATGTATGTATGTATGTATGTATGTATGTATGTATGTATGTATGTATGTATGTATGTATGTATGTATGTATGTATGTATGTATGTATTATGTGTGTGTGTGTGTATGTATGTATGTGTGTGTGCGCGCGTGTGTGGCTGCGTCTGTGTGTGTATGTATGCGTGTGTGTATTTTATCACATATGTATACGTGTGTGTGCAGGTGTATCTGCCAGTGCGTTGGTGTGTAGTTATATAATATGTATATGATTGCTTGACTGCGTGTGTACGTGAGTATGTTTGTACGTTGTTGTCGGCGGTTGTAAATATCGAGTCTGGGCCCGACAATCTAGTGATTGACATAATATGGGACATTATGACACACATCAATAAAGTCAGCAGATCCCGTTACAAGCATGGGTTGCCGAAGAACATTCAAACGCTGAATCTGTATGTGTCCAGTTATATATAGTTAGGACGGTTGCGGTGGAGTAGCTTTGCTGAGGAAGCGTTCTCTCGTCACGTCGGAGGCCCGGGTTCGATCCCTAACACTTTAACAATGTATGAAACTCATGTCTTGTGTCCCACGACACCGTATAACAGGAATTAAAGCGGCGTAAAACAATAGTTACTCCCACATATTCACAGATTCCAGAACAGTCAGCATGCCTGGTGGGCGATAGATAAAACCGGACGTAGCTTGTTGAAGTGGAACATTCTTTGTGAAATTGCAAAAATTGAAAAACAACCCATACCTGCAAAAATGAGTTTCTAATTTTAATCCTTAAAGGAGACATATTGAATAATTACTTTTTGAAATGTGTTATAAAGGATCAAAACAAAGTATACATTTACACACACAAAAGTCATATGTGCTTCCATTGTATTCTAAAATGTAAAGGCAAATTCTACACGTAATGAGCGATCTGTTACAAGTCGATTACAATTCTCATTACCTCTCGGTAGTTTCCGGAATGCAAGTATTTTGTAACAGTTTTTTCAATTAATATTGACTTTTGAGAAAACAAATGTTCTTCACGTTACTAGTTTTGATATGCCTTATAAGTGATTCAATTACTGTATATCTCCTTTAATTGATTTCATTCTTTGCATGCTGTCTCCAGTTATTGCACAACGTTTTGGAAGGTTGATCATGATGCTAATACAATGGAGATTGGAATATTGTAGTAGATAACAGTTGGTTTTGTTTATGTTCAATGACACAAACGCATCAGCAAAATCTGTTAGCCCGATGAAGCCCTTTTACGACAATGTCGTGATAGGTTTGGACTCTGTAAACGGAAACACAGACACTGAACCGTTATAGTAGAAGAATGTAGGTTACAGAAATATGTGGAAGTTATGCGTAGAGTGAGTGAGTGAGTGAGTTTAGTTTTACGCCGCACTCAGCAATATTCCAGCTATATGGCGGCGGTCTGTAAATAATCGAGTCTGGACCAGACAATCCAGTGATCAACAGCATGAGCATCGATCTGCGCAATTGGGAACCGATGACATGTGTCAACCAAGTCAGCGAAACTGACCACCCGATCCCGTTAGTCGCCTCTTACGACAAGATAGTCGCCTTTTTATGGCAAGCACATGGGTTGCTGAAGACCTATTCTACCCCGGATCTTCACGGGTCTTATGCGTAGAGTGAGCAACAGTATATGATAGTGATGCTTAAAGAACAAATAAACTTTGTTTTTTTGTACTCTTTTAACTATTACATATGAAAGATTTGTGGTTAGACTTATGCGGAACACCAAATTTATTCTTAAAAAACTTGTGGTTAATTAAAAGTTGCCAAAAAGTCGCCTGCTTCACTCTCGCCCGCCAACGAAACCACAGACAGGTTACGTAACTCTGTCGCCAGAGCACTGCAGTGACGTCATATGAGGAACGATTTTCAGTTAGTTGTATAGAAAGTGTGCAGCACGCTCATCATTTTGATGATTTCTCGACATCAACGACGACATGCCGAATCGTTGCTTTGTCGTCAATTGCTCCTAGGGGTCGGGCGATGGTGTCACCATGCACAGATTTCCACAGGACCCCGCAGTTCGTGCTAAATGGGTTATGTTTGTGAGTGCGAAGCGACCGTTGTGGAAGCCTGAAACGATATCTTACTTGTGTTCAGATCGCTTCACGGAAGGTAAAGAATCAAAACTACTTACTAGTTGTAGTCAAATATGTATATGATTGATGACCATAAAGATTTTCCATGACACAACTTGTAACATAACGATGTCTTCCTCGGAAGCGAGGTTGTGATCGAAGTAACAATAATATTGTAAGTAGTATTATATTGACACCCACCTCGCTGCCACGAGAGAAATTGTTATGTTATAAGCTATGTCATGCAAAATCCTATTGGCCATCAATCAAATACATATTTTACTACCAGTAGAAAGTAGTTTTGATTTTGTAACTCGGTGAAAACAAACCTAAATTAGCATTTATCCTCAGACTGGCAGATGTTCGCGACAGGGCGCCGCCATTTTTGAAAATCGTAAAGTGACGGGCTAAAGTCTGTTAGAATTAATGAGATTATTGTTTGTTTTCATCAAGTTAGAAAATCAAAACTACTTTCTACTCGTAGTTAAATATGTATTGGAATCATAACCAAAAGGATTTTGCATGACACAACTTATAACATAACGATTTCTTCCACGGAAGCGAGGTGGGGGTCGAAGTCACAATACTGCGCGATAAAGTTACATTCACATGGTTAATGTCCACTCACCAGTATGTAGATACTAGTCAATGTGCGTCTTTATATTTGGTCTTATAATCCTAATTAGTTTATTATCATACTTGTATGCATTTTGAAACTAAATAAAAAGCAGACGATCTGCTGATACTTATAGTGAATTTATAACAGAACTGTAATATCTAGACATTTTATAGTTTGCCAATGTGAATCATAATTCGCACACACACACCCTAGTGTATGTTGTCTGTCTCAATACACTTCACGGCGAAAACAATGATTCTGTTGAATGCTACGACAAATGAATAAAAACAAAATGCAAATATTAAAATTAAAACAGATTAAATTTATAGGAACAATGTCAGGCTATTACCTTGCTCGAGGAATGTATCCATTAATATCCACAAAAACGAGTGATATGCCATTCATCTGCAGCTGTTCCAGGTAATGTGTCTTTTAACAGTCTAGTATACGAAAAAGTGATATATCGTTTCAGGTATGTCACATTGGTGTATAGTCTCATTGGTCACCCAAGATAGCACACCTGGCAACTAATTGCATAATGTCCGCCTTTCTTTAAAAACAGTAATTTAGTTAGCCAATACTGGGCAATCAATCAATGTATTGGCGGGTAATCCTTTGAAAGAAGGACGTTGTTTGTACGCAGACACCGACACGACAGAGTGTATTAAGTATAGATTAGTAAATCTACATACATAAACACTACCTTTTGATAAATCCGCTGTGTAAGATAAAAGTAATTAATCAATCAGTGTGTTATCGGTTAATCCTTTGACCGATGTTTATAATGTTGAGTATTTACTCCAGACACAAGAAATGCCAAATGGGAACCTTTGTCGGGTAATTGAAGTGTGTTACCATTAATTATACCTGTTATAAATTCATTAACTGACCATCAAGTGAATGATGACAAATAACATGTGTAGGTTTATACCCCCTAACACGGGTTACAACAAGGGAGTATTAATTGCTGTATTGCATGTGAAAACATATGGGCCGACACTGTTTTGAGAATACAAACAGATTTTTACATGACATGCTTAAATATCGAGGTAAAAAAAACACAGAAATAGGATCAATTTGGATCAGTCATTATACAAATAAGGCCTAACGACACCAAGCGATTTTGACAGAATCGTCTATGAAAACAAGAAGTAACTCGGAAACTAGGCAAAGCAGGAGACAAAATTAAATGACAGTAGATTGTGAGAACATATAGCTTTCATTTTCCACAACAGTTGTCACGATTTCAGGTTTATACAAACCTGTAAACAAGATAATTTACCCCCTGAAACGTAGATGAATTCTGCATCGGCCCTCATATCTATTCCTCATATGACGTCACAGAGACGCCCCGCTCTGATTGGTTGAAATTTCGTTCGCGGGTGAGAATTGTGCACTGTTGTCAAAAAGGTCGATTTAAGTTAATTAAAGACCGAAGTGAGTAGTTTTAATGACAGGGTTTCATTTATAGCGATGCCAGTTAGTGATTTATGTATTTGTATCCCCGTAGAGTATATGTGATCTTTAAGCAGCGGAAGAGTGTGTATTTCCTTTCGGGCGAAGAGAGGAGATGGCCATGAGGATATGTTCATGATAGATTCAAAATGGTTGGTTGGTTTGTTGTTTAACGCCGCACTCAACTATATTCCAGCTATATTGCGAAGGTATGTAAACAATCGAGTCTGGACCAGACAATCCCGTGATCAACAGCATGAGCATCGATTGGGATACGATGACATGTGTCAACCAAGTCAGCGAGCCTTACCACCCGATCCCGTTAGTCGTCCCTTACGACTAGCATGGGCTACTGAAGATCAATTCTCACCTGAATCTTCTGAGGTCGTAGACTCTCTTAGTTTGAATAACCAATTGCTTGTCTTGAAGTTTAGTGTGATGTTATTCTCAACACAGAATATTTGGTTATGAAGCGTGTGGGTACGTAGCACCGATTAGTTTAACATAAATATGACTGAAACAAAATTTTCGTTTTAAGTAATGTATTGATGATATGTTTAACCTTACGTAAATACATCCAATGGCAGCGTACATAAAATCATCATTAATCTCCCACTAAATTTGACAAAGTTCTTCTGAGCGAAGTATGGTACAATCTTCAGTGTATACCGGATGTTGGTGAATTCAGCATCCGGACATGCGTCTTCGTGTCAAGCGATTTTTTAAATAGTTATATATAATATAGCCCACCACGTAAGTTTCACATGTGTACCCATTGATATTTACGTCTACTAGACTTTGAATGATTGGTATTTGGGGACCCTTGTAGTGAGTTGGAATGCACTTGTGTATCGGAGTACAGGCAATAAAAAATTTTGAGCTCAGTTGTGTTGTGACGTTGGTTTGAAAGAAACAAAGCTCTCCACAAACGTGACGTTCGTGTCACTGCGATATTCTGATCCATATTCTGATGGCGTATTGGCACCATTCAGTTGTTGACAAGTTTTACTTGTTAGGATGTCTGGAATATTTAACATTCTAACCTTCTTGACGAAATTCATTTCCATTTCCAACAATACGTTGATGAGGCTCAAATACATGTAGGTTGATTTGGAGAAGGATTTCATGTACTTCAGATAGACTGTATGATTTGTTGCTTGACACATCTTGCAGCAACACCCCAGTCTTATGATGGTGGGCTATTGGTAATAAAGTCTGGGCCAGACAATTCGGTGATTGAAGGTATGAGCAGTTCTCGAAGCCATTGGCTGAACGGTCAAGTCGCCGAGCCTGAGCACCCGATGCAATTTCTTGCCGTTCACGTCTATATGTGTGTGTGTGCGTTGTTATTTAACGCCGCACTCAGCAACTTAACAGACGGCGGTCTGTAAATGTTAGAATTTGGACCAGACGATCCAGTGATTGAAGCAATGAGCAACAATCTACACAATTGGGACACGAAGACATGCATCACTCAAGTCTGACCACCCGATGCCGTTAGTCGCTTCTTGCGGCAAGGATGGACTGATGAAGATTAATTCTAAACCGGGTCATCACGGTTCTGTCAATACAGATAAATATGGACCCATTCTAACCCGGAGGCGGTGGGGTAGCCTAGCAGTTAAAGCTTTCGCTCGTTCCACCAAAGACCCGGGTTCGATTCCCCACATGGGTAAAATGTATGAAGCCCATTTCTGGTGAAGCCCTTTGATGGAATACTGCTAAAAGCGGCGTAAAACTAAATAAACTCACTCGTTCACTGTAACCTGGGAACAGGCACTGAGTGAGAGAGAGTGAGTGAGTGAGTGTATCAGTAATTACGCATTGCATTATTCCAACGGTGGCACTGAACCAAGAGAAAAAAAGTGTTCACGCCATATTATTATGTAACTGGATTAGTCACATAGTGAGTGAGTTTGGTTTTACGCCGCTCTCAGCAATATTCCATCTAACTGTAAATAATCTAGTCTGGACCAGACAACCCAGTGATCAACAGCATGTCAGTCTCAAAGAGCCGGTGCTGTAACAAATAAGCTACCCCTTCGCCAACATGACTCGGTGCTTGATACCATCTTAGAATTGTATTGACAGGCTTCATCAGATGTGTGGGGCATTCGGCAGTACTCATATCCTGGTACAGCAGCACCTCGTTTGAACGTAACGAGAGATATTGACCTATTGAATGTGTTACGAAAGCCCAACGCTCGATAAGGTTACATCCTTTTAAGTGGTCGGTTGAATTAAATCTGTAAGAAGTGACTCTGTGATGGAATTTATTGACCGTTATTGACATGTTGCCATGGGTGGTGTTGCGAAACGTAATGGTAAACTATCTAATGACCTTCCAAAACCATAAAAAGTAACACACATCTGCTTTAATGACACTGAAATGTTTCTTGTATCGATGTCAGTAAAGTCAAAAAGACATAAAACATTTTCATTATGAAGGGATGTGGGTGTTGTAAAGGTCTTGAGATCCTCTTTGACACATGGCTTTGACACACCCTCTGTAATCTCCTGTTTCTTTACACACTCATAGGTCTTAAACACACACACCCACACCCACACACACACACACACACACACACACACACACACACACACACACACACACACACACACACACACACACACACACACACACACACCTTACACATTCAATAGCCTTCTGTCTCACTACCTTACACACTCATGAATCTCCAGAAGCCGGCACCTCTGTGGGTGTGGATTCGAATCCCGGATCTCAACCCAACAAATGTACTAGAATCTGCTCTTTACTAAGAAAGTGTAATCCCAAATATAACGTATGTTACATTTGACCACTTTCTAAATGGCTTTGTGTAATCAGAGAGAGAGAGAACATTGCATAAGCAGACGACAAGAAATCACGGTTCATTCCATTCTATAAATGGGCGCCTCAGGTGTTGGGGACCCAGTAGTGGTATTTTCGTGGTGGTATTTTAGAATACCAGAAGTTTCCTTCTCACTAAACTGCAAGACGCTACGTGACTCAGCTAATCTCTCGCCAGATAACGGACCTGTGTATCAGACCGCATGAAACCTTTGACCTGTCAATCACACGCTATCAGGTCATTGGTACACACTCACGTGATTATTACAGCAACACGTGACGGGTCAGCCTTCAATATAGTCTCCATCACGTTCGCTGAAAATATATGTTCTGCATAACTGTCCAGCATTCGGCTATTTGTTCAGGGAGTTAAAATTTCCGCCTCAGACAATAAAGAAGAAACGAACTTTAGTTACAAACAGTCATGCATGGGACATTTTGTACCAGTGTAATAAGGGATAAAATCACAGTTTAATTTTGTGAATAACATCGGACATCATGTTGTATCAAATATTAAAATTTCATCCACTCATCGTATCCCACCAAAAGCACCACCGATCACAACATGTCGACCGTACAGGGTTTCGAAAGCTTTACTGAGGCCTTGAATGTTGTTCAAGGTTTGGGTTAGAATTGGTCTTCAGTAACGATGCTTGTCGTGGTGGTCAGGCTCGCTGACTTGGTTGACACATGCCATCGTATAACAATTGTGTATATCGATGACCATCCCGTTGATAACTGTATTGTTTGGTCCAGACTCGATTATTTACAGACCGCCGCCATATAGCTGGTATATTGTTGAGTGCGGCGTAAAACTAAACTCACTCACTCACTACTTGAATGTTGAAGCCCTCCACGAGGTTGCTTGATTGCAATGTATTAAATGTAATTCACTGCAAGACTGTAGTTTCTAGAGTGACTGAGAGAGTGAGTATGTGATTTTACGCCGCTTTTAGCAGTACTCCAGCTATATAAGGTGGGGGACACCAGAAGTGGACTTCACACATTGTATCATGTGGGAAATCGAACCCGGGTCTTCGGCGTGACGAGCGAACGCTTTAACCACTAGGCTACCCCACAGCTCCCTGCATGTTCAAGAATATTGCTTCTAGACATAAAGGGAAAGTTGACGGCTAGAATAGAAGTAATTTGCCTTGTCTTTTGGAAAGACCTCTTTCTTGTCAATTCCTGGTGTGTTAGACAACGCACAACATAACTTCTTTGAGTGGCATTTAGAAGTTGGTTTGATGAAAAACGGGGAAATTCTATGCATATACAACGTCTTTATTATTAATGTAAGCGACGCGATAACACTTTCGTGATAACGGTGTTGGGCGTTTACGCCGAAAAGTCGCTTACATTATGTTAAAGAATTTGTATATCGGTACAACTTTCCCCATTGATCAAACTTCAGCGCTGTAACAATACACTACCAACTACAGCTGTATAACGAGGATGCTTTGGACACCTGGCGGTTCACAGGCGACACCAGTATAAGGCTTGTTGGACGTGTACCTAGTCTCCCATGTGACCCATGTGACAATAGGCCATGAATCGGGTCACCTCGTGAGCATACTGACTGTGCACTGAGTGACCTGTCATCTGGGACATGATACCTGTTTATTCAGCAACATGACTCCACGCCATATTTATCGTGTATATATTTGTTTACTCGTCTTCTCGTTTGCGCCAACTCCCTCACTCACCCAAGTGTTAGACACGTGTATCCAGCAGACATCATGTTCGTGCAAGAACTCCAAGGGAACAATAGATCTGACTCCTCTCGCCAACACAGCCGGGTCCGCCAAGTAAGTTTTACACTGTTTGTTCAACATTCTATGTTAAATTCGACCTACATATGTCACCATAATCAATCAAGCAGAAGCAATCCGCTGAGAAGAGTTATTCCCCTTAGAAGTGTCAGGATTTTTCGATGTGTTCTTTGAATCCCCGATCATGAATCGTTTCAGCCTCATTGTTAGAGGTACCCGTGAAGGTCCGGGTTAGAATTGATCTTCAGTAACCCATGCTTGTCGTAAAAGGTGACTGATCGGGTGGTCAGGCTCGCTGACTTGGTTGACACGTCATCGGTTCCCAATTGCTCAGATCGATGCTCATGCTGTTGATCACGGGATTGTCTGGTCCAGACTCGATTACTTACAGACCGCCGCCATATAGCTGGAATATTGCTGAGTGCGGCCTAACTCTGAACTCACTCATTGTTAGAGGTAGGGTCAATGAGGTAAGAGCATAAAATATGGTCAGGGTATAAAAAACGTCAGTATGCGTTTTAACCTCCGATTGTGACACGCCCTTTTTACCTGAAACAGTTTTCAAAGCGGCGTAAAACACGACTTACTCATAAATATGAAACCCACGTTTTCTAACTATATCTGAATTGAAATGATAGCGTGGTGCATATGTATCTCAATGGGTTCTGAAATGTGAAGGGGCGGTGGATAGCCTAGTGGTTAAAGCGTTCGCTCGTCACGCCGAAGACCAGAGTTCGATTCCTCACATGGGTACAATGTGTGAAGCCCATTTCTTGTGTTCCCCGCCGTGATATTGCTGGAATATTGCTAAAAGCAAACTTATCTCACTCACTCGCTGAAATGTGAAGAGAAAAGCATCTCATGTTCAGTGCGTTTTGCAAGCATCGTGTTTAATTGCATATGGTGAAGAAAGCTTGAACGTATCACGTCTCTTATATGTCGTCAGCCTTTCTTGAACTGTTGTGTGCCATCTTTCAGTACGGAATGTCTGCCTTTTGCTGTACGTTCCAGAATACCGTTGTACAAAGCGATCTTAGCGCTAAGGTGACTCCCATACCTTAACATAGACTTACGACTGCCGTAACGTGCTTTTTTACAACGGTATATATACACATGTAGTGTATATACTTATACTGAAGTATATCAAACTATCTGTTGTAGAATCCTGGATTATCTATCTGTTATCGTTTCTTTGTTCCTTGAGTATATCTCCCAGCTAACAGATAACATTGTCATAGGTTCATAATAGTTTAAAAAAATTAAAAAATTCCTAATTGTTTCCGTAGGGTTTTAAGAATGTCTCACTACTAATCAATATGCTATTGAAATTTAATTAAACTGTTTCGAAAAGTTTCTGGAACCATACCAATATATTTCTGGAACAGTTGCGAAATGTTTTGGGGATGTTTTTATCACATTTTTTTCGTGTTAGTTGGGATGTTCTGACTTGTAGATTTCTGCAGTATGTAACTGTTATCCGTTTAGAATTAAGCGGCAGCCTTAAGTAAATGTCGGCCAACTGCCAAAATTCACGAAGTGTGTTTCTTAGATCGATTCCAGTAGTCTGTTTTCTGTTGTAGGTTCCTCGACCAGCCAGACGCAAGTGGTTCCACCTTTAAGTACTCGTGGAATCCTTGCAAAGACTTCACCGAGGGCACAAGTGCCTGTACCCAGGTCGCGGTAAGTCTCAAGCATGGTCCAACTTAACAGAAAATAGCGTGTGTGATATGAGAGTCCCACTAGTCTGCGTCCCTGATATAGTGTCCTTCAGGATGCCAGGAACATCATCGTCCTGATCTCGGCACCACATCAAGTTTGGGCTTGGACCCGTGAAGATCAGGGGTAGAATTGGTCTTCAGCAACCCATGCTTGTCGTAAGAGGCGACAACCGGGATCGAATGATCAGACTCGCTGATTTTCGTAGTTCGAAGCTCGATGCTGTTGATCACTTGCTTGTCTGGTCCAAACTCGATTATTTACAGACGGTTAACTGGATCACTGGATTGTCCTATCTGAAATTCGATTATTTATAGGCCGCCGCCATATAGCTGGACTACCGCTGAGTACGGCGTTGAACAATCCATCAATCAGCCTTTGGGTTTCATCACCTTAAACCACTAGGGAAAGTTATGTCCATTGTTCTTGGAAGTGTTTTAGTAGCATAACTGAATAACTGCCCTAGGGCAATTGTTTCTATTTAAACACAATAACATTGAACTCATTTTGATAATCTTTATCATGCCTAATACATTATACGCGTATAAAATAAGTATGCCCTCGTGGTGTGAGCCGTTTAATCACCCTCACTACGGTAGTTATTTAAATAAACTCAGCTCGGGCTAAAGTCCTAGCTAAAGCCGCTCATTTAAATAACTACCTTGTACGGGTGATTAACCTATACATACCCATCAGACCTCGCACTTGCGCTTGAAAAACCTTTTAACACGGCATCAAACCAAATTGCCTTACTTTCAGTCTAATCATCTAAACTCTGTTGCATGGTATAGGGGGCAGTGGGGTGGCTTAGTGGTTAAAGCGTCCGCTCTTCACGCCGAGGGCCCGGGTTCGATTCCCCACACGGGTACAATGTGTGAAGCCCATTTCTGGTGTTCCCCGCCGTGATCTTGCTGGAATATTGCTAAAAGTGGCGTAAAACTATATTCACACACTCACTCGCTGTTGCAGGCATGCCAATCTGACAGCAGCACCGGTACCGACTACAACCTGGGTGACCAGGCCTCAGCTGAGTTCGTGAATGAAGCCACTTCTCTCAGCCTCCACTATTCTTCCACCACCGACATCACCAGGTACTTCAACATCAATTTACAATTTCTGAAGAACAAAGCTGACTCCTATAGATAAGTCAGCATATGTAATATTAACCTAACACGCTGCTTATTTAGGAGATACACGTACTGTGTTTGGAAATTAAATAAATGTTAGACCGAATTGATAGTCTCTAAATTTCATTTGAAGCCGAACGCGTAGCAGAGAAGAGCTTTCTGGTGGTTCAAGTTTTGACATCTATTTTTTGAACGATGCAACAGGACATAATGGATTATGAGTGGCATAAATTTGGTGTTTTGTCTGACCGTTTTCTTGTGAATTTCCCATTCTAAAGGGAACTAATATACCATTTACCAGGTAGGCAAATGTGTACTAACGTTTTGCTGCAAATTTTGTATAGATAGGGATGTATTTTACAAGGTTTTCTGATTTATATGTTAGATATTGTTTGGTTATGTTTGGGGCTGTGTATTGTCATTGAGTTTGAATATTTTTATGATAGAAATGAATATGATAGTGAGTTTCCCTAATAATTGTGAAGGAAAAATCATATAATTGTATTTTTCGAGTTTTAATAAATGTTTTGTAGGCATTTACATCACGTCTGTTGTGTTGATATTAGCCATATTGGTGGTCAAGCTGTAGTAGTGCGGCAGTGTTGTATATGTGCGCAGCGAAGCGCCGTGAAATCGGACGCATTTTCAATCCCAAATTGATACCATCTGATTTTATTGATTGACCAATCAAATTCGAGCATTTCACGTAGCCATGGTAGCATTAATCATATAAAGGGGCGATGGGGTAGCCTGGTTGTTAAAGCGTTCGCTAGTCACGCCGAAGACCCGGGTTCGAGTCTCCACATGGGTACAATGTGTGAAGCTAATTTCTGGTGCCTCCCGCCGTGGTATTGCTGGAATATTGCTAAAGGGGAGTAAAAATTAAACTTACTCATCATGAAAAGACGAAACACTGTAGACAACAAAATGGTGACTTCGTTCAGAACAAGAATGCTACACGAGCCCTGTCCATTCTGTTACCAGAAAATCAGTTTGTGGACATGACACATTACCGTTCAGGTCACTGAGTGAATATTTTGTACGTCGCTTCTTGCAACATTGGACCAATATCACGGAGGGGGAAAAACCAGTAATGGGCCTCACACATTCGAACCCGGGTCTTCGGTGTGACGAGCGCACACTATGACCACTAGGGCACTCCGCATCCCCTCAGGTCAGTGGAACATAAAAGTCATCAGTTGTAATTTGTGAACAGGACGACGATTGTGACGTTGACATGTGACGAGACCCAAGAGGCCTCGCTTGCCATCACAGGGGAGGATCCGAGTAACCCTGGAAATTATGTGAGTATCAGTCCCCTCCCTGGTGTAGCTCCCTCACACACCCCTGCTTTATACAAATATAGCCTCTCCCAAATAATCGTCATCGACCCTTGAACATCCGGGTTACAATCGGTTTTCAGCAACCCATGCTTGTCGTAAGAGGCGGCTAACGGGATCGAGTGGTCAGACTCGCTTGGTTGACACATGTCATCCTGTCTCATTTGCGTAGATCGGTGCACATGATAATGATCACTGGATTGTCTGATCCATACTAGATTATTCTAGAAAACCCAAACAACCAATAATCGTCATCCGTATCCACCAGTGTGCACAAAGACCAAGCCCTGCGTTATTACGGAATTTCCTGTCACATTAGATTTCCCAAATTTGTCATCTAGATACCCTCCATCCCTCATAATGTTCATCTAGATTTCTGTGTCACATTAAACTTTCACGAAGTGATGCACCTTCAATATTTGTCAAAGCAGCAAGTGTACATCCACATTTAGCGTTTCACCTAACTATCTTACGCATTACAGTTGATTACGTTGACCAACAAGTGGACTTGTCCAAAAGCAGCGTTTCATTTATTTACCTTACTCATTAGAGCTGACCAGCATGTGTGTTTGCCCTAAAGCATTTTGTCACTTAACTACCTTACTCATTACAGTTGATTACGTTGACCAACAAGTGGACTTGTCCAAAAGCAGCGTTTCACTTATTTACCTTACTCATTACTCATTATGAGCTGACCAGCATGTTGTTTTGACCAACAAGTGGACTAAAGCATTTTGTTACTCATTAGAGCTGACCAGCATTAACTACCTTAACTTACATTACAGTTGATTACGTTGACCAACAAGTGGACTTGTCCAAAAGCAGCGTTTCATTTTATTACTCATTAGAGCTGACCAGCATGTGTTTTTGCTCATTAAGCTGACCTTACAGCAGTTGTACCTTACTCATTAGAGCTGACCAGCATGTGTGTTTGCCCTAAAGCATTTTGTCACTTAACTACCTTACTCATTACAGTTGATTACGTTGACCAACAAGTGGACTTGTCCAAAAGCAGCGTTTCATTTATTTACCTTACTCATTAGAGCTTACCAGCATGTGTGTTTTCCCTAAAGCATTTTTTCACTTAACAAGCTTACTCATTGCAGCTGATGACGTTGACCAGCAAGTACGCTTGTCCAAAAGCAGGACCAGGACCTACCAAAGGGCCCCCGGAGCCTGAAGGGGGGATATCTATCGGTAGCATCCTTGTCATCGTGTGAGTTGCTATTAAGGGCGTCTGCACAATCCCTCAAAACACTTTCTTTGGCATATAGGATCCTCCATTACCACCATGTCTGTTATTTGGGTGTACTTAATCTTACAGTTTCCATGATTTATGTACTATCATGAAGCATGTGAAGATATTCGTTTTTGTTTCTATTGCCCATCTATTTTTATATTGCCCAGAGTTATATTCCAACCTGAAATAATAAGAAAACGTTCCTGTCCCAGACGCTGTTGGAAGTTATGCCTTGACGTTATATAATCCCTTACCCTTGCATACTCGTAAGAAACCGAAGTGAGCTTGATATTACTTCATTTGGCATCTGAATACCTCCAATGCTCTATCTTTGGCATCTATATACCATCCATGTCCTATCTTTGGCATCTGAATATCTTCCATGACCTATCTTTGGCATCTGAATACCTCCAATGCTCTATCTTTGGCATCTGAATACCTTCCATGCCCTATCTTTGGCATCTAAATATACCTTCCATGCCCTATCTTTGGCATCTGGATACCTTCCATGCCCCATCTTTGGTCCTATTTTTGGGCTTTGAATACCTTCCATGCCCTATCTTTGGTCCTATCTTTGGCATCTGAATACCTCCCATGCTCTATCTTTGGCATCTGGATACCTTCCATGCCCTATCTTTGGCATCTGAATACCTTCCATGCCCTATCTTTGGTCCTATCTTTGGCATCTGGATACCTTCCATGCCCTATCTTTGGCATCTGAATACCTTCCATGCCCTATCTTTGGTCCTATCTTTGGCATCTGAATACCTTCAATGCCCTATCTTTGGTCCTATCTTTGGCATCTGAATACCTTCCATGCCCTATCTTTGGCATCTGGATACCTTCAATGCCCTATCTTTGGCATCTAGATACCTTCAATGCCCTATCTTTGGCATCTAGATACCTTCCATGCCCTATCTTTGGCATCTGGATACCTTCAATGCCCTATCTTTGACATCTAGATACCTTCAATGACCTATCTGTGGCCCTATCTTTGGCATCTAGATACCTTCAATGCCCTATGTTTGGCATCTGCATACCTTCCATGTCCTATCTTTGGCATCTAGACACCTTCCATGCCCTTTCTTTGTCATTTCTAGATACCTTCCACGCCCTACCGTTGGCACCTGGATACCTTCTATGCCCTTTCTTTGTCATGTAGATACTCTTGCCACCTATTTGTCATCTTCATCCCGTCCTTGTACAGACTGATATCTAGATAAGCTGCATTCCACGTTTTTCATCTGAATGTCTTGTTTGTCACACAGACCTTGCCACATGTTTGCCATCTGGATAGCTTCCATGCCAGAAATCTGTCATCTCGATATTTGCCATCTAGATACCCGCCATGTTACATCTTTGTGATCCAGATGCCCTTTATAAAGCGTGTGCTTCATCCAGATATCTCTGCTTGATGCAAGTCTGTTATTACCTAGATTCACTCCCTGCCAATGTTTGCTAATTATGATACACATATGTCATCCCTATGTGTTAAACACACCATTAAATAACCAAATGCAGCATTGAATAGAATGTACAGTCATGTATAACTACCCACCAGCTTCTTCGGGACCTTCGTTGTGTACCTGGCGGGAGGGGTGGTGCTGCAGACCTTTGTCCGACGGGCCTCCGGGAGGGACATGGTACCTAACTATGGATTATGGGCAACAATGTTCGGACTCATTAAGGTAATCATATTCCATATCTGTGGGGTCCAGCTGACAGGCTAAATGCAACTCGCTAGTTCGTTCAAAGCAAAAGATTGGTTTTCACGTTAATGCTTTACTCTGCAACTGTGTGCGAAATAGCCACTGGCCCATCTAGCCCGTGGCTAGTACAAATTCAGTCGGGCCATTAAATCTCCAAGTCAGTTGCCCGACTGGCTAGTGAATTTTCATGGCGTCATGTTTTGAATATATCACTCTCTCCCACTTAAGTTATGCACTTTTAATTCATGCAAGATTATAACCTGATAAATGATTGATTTTCAACTTTTTGTAATCTTTTGCTTAGTTTCTACATTCAATTTTTAGGCTAGTGAATTATTTTGTGGATATGATATACATATTCAAAGGTAATATCCAATTCGCAAAGGCCCAACACGAACATTTTTACCAGTAGACTAATTATTATTAATTTGTGGCAAAATTATAACAGCGTATATGCATTCTATCACCGTTCAAAAAAGCAAGCTTTTGTTCAGTATGTTCGTGTTTAAACGAAGAGTTGCTAAATCGTTCCATGTATATAACGGCACAATGATAATGTATAAAACACACTTATCCTTTCTTAAACTGTATAACTATTTGGTCTTGATGTAAGTAAACATTAAATGTTTAATTTTATGTCTCCATTATGAAGGACCTGGCCTGTACGAATCCCGTTGGCAAAACGTTTTTAATTAAATTACTCTATCAATCATGATTAGGTACTGGTAAATAGAAAGGACTCTTCCTTTCTACGGTGTTGCCATATAGTTGCCATACCAATCATGATCAGGTACTGGTAAACATAGAAGGTTCGTCATTGATAGGGTGTTGCCAAATCGTTGCCAAATCAATCATGACCAGGTACTGGTATACGAAGTAGATTCTTCATTGTCAGTGGTGTTGCCAAATCGTTGCCAAATCAATCATGACCAGGTACTGGTATACGAAGTAGATTCTTCATAGTCAGTGGTGTTGCCAAATCGTTGCCAAATCAATCATGACCAGGTACTGGTATACGAAGTAGATTCTTCATTGTCAGTGGTGTTGCCAAATCGTTGCCAAATCAATCATGACCAGGTACTGGTATACGAAGTAGATTCTTCATTGTCAGTGGTGTTGCCAAATCGTTGCCAAATCAATCATGACCAGGTACTGGTATACGAAGTAGATTCTTCATTGTCAGTGGTGTTGCCAAATCGTTGCCAAATCAATCATGACCAGGTACTGGTATACGAAGTAGATTCTTCATTGTCAGTGGTGTTGCCAAATCGTTGCCAAATCAATCATGAATAGGTACTGGTGTACAAAGTAGATTCTTCATTGTCAGTGGTGTTGCCAAATCGTTGCCAAATCAATCATGAATAGGTACTGGTATACAAAGTAGATTCTTCATTGTCAGTGATGTTGCCAAATGGATCAGGACCACCGTAACCGTGGTTTAAAAAGCCATGTCCATAATGTTGGCGTTGCGTGTCAATCAAATTAATTGACATTCGTCAAAGTGACGTATTCTTAAATAAGACAATGAACTGAAAGGAGTCGATCAGAGAGATTGATCTGCATTTAGTTCAAAACAGTCACACGTGTTATTTGTTGAGCGGATATTGCATTAGAATTGTGGATGAATTGAAAGATAGATAATTGAAACCATTGGTGCACGAAATTAAGGTGACAGAAGCCACGAATTGTGAAGTTGGGCGTACTCGTTGTTTGTGTAAATCGGATATGAGTTTTGAAAATTTGCATTTAGACACAACAATACCGATTTCATCAGTGAATGTCGGCAACAGAATTAAATGCTACTTATTGTCCTCTCGTGGAATCGATTAAGCACGTGAAATAAAATGAATTGACTCTTATGACACGTTCTTGGACCATTGCCTCGGAGATTGCATTGGCAAAGGACAGGATCGTGAAATTGAATATGTCTAACACTACTTCTCAATCACAAATACAAGATGATCAGCTTCTGTTTGCGTATCACTAATGCAGATAAAGAAGACGCCTCAACCATATCAAACGAATCATTCTCGTGTTAATGCAAGCGCCATTTCCAATTCTAGGATACCAAAGTTTGTGATCTATATTTGATTACACATCTCACACTTGAACAATTCCCCACATGGGTACAATGTGTGAAGCCCATTTCTGGTGTCCGCCGCCGTGATATTGCTGGAATATTGCTACAAGCGTCGTAATAACCACTCACTCACTCACTTCAACGTGTTCCTCTTCTTGATCTTTGGTAATCTGGCTATACATTAACGAGAGGACTGCAAAGTGAAAAGTTTGTCTATAGGAGAAATTGAAACAACGGTAACGAGCATATCTACAAGCAAACCGAAACATGAGTCTCATGAACCAATTCAGACAATGACCTACTTTTCAGCCTATCCGAATTTTCTCGTGTGAAAGTGAAAAGAGACACTACAAACAACTATGGTTACACGAAATTCCACTTCCTTGTTTCATAAGAAAATGGTATTTACAAATTAATTTTAATTTTAAAATTTATTAAAAATATCGTATTTCCATATTTTATGGCGAGGTTTAGATAGCATAACCGTAATTAAGACGTCACACAGACTGCCCCTGTTTGATGAGGTCGTAAAATGATTTACAATTCATAATGGCTCACTGGTCATACCTGTTATGTGTTCTTTGCGCTTATTCAATGTATTTTTGTAACGTACAATGTGAGTGATATAATATCACTTCCGTACGTTTCTTGCGTCCGAGCCTCCTTTTGAGATTTCCGCGATTTCCAGATTTGCGTTTTTCAGAGCACACTGTACGACGGATCACGCTGCCCGACGTGTTTGCGAGAATATAAATGAGCGTAGTGTTGCGATATACAAATGATGTATCAAATAATACTGATTAATGTTTATATAACCAGTTGAATGAGTTGGTCTAAAAAATCTGGACTGGTTATCGTACTAAGTTGCGCAATAGGACGGAACCCAGTCAGCAGGAAACGAGACTGTTGTGTAATCAATGTTTTGCCTTGTGATGAGACCCGTGAAGATCCCAGTTAGAATTGATCTTCAGTAACCCATGCTTGTCTTAAGAGGCGACTAACGGGATCGGGTGATCAGGCTCGTTGATTTGGTTGAAACATGCCATCGTTTCCCAATTGCGTAGATCGATGTTCATACCTTTGATCACTGGATTGTTTGGTCCAGGCTCGATTATTTTCAAACTGCCTCCATATTGCTGGACCTTTGCCGGGTGCGGCGTTAAGCAACAAACAAAGAAACACAAGGCCGTGGTGGGATCTCATCAAGCTTGATATCTTTCAGCACACAGTGAGATGAGTTGATATGAGTTTAAACTTCACCTTCTTGACTTTGCACCTGTAAAGGACGTGCATGTGCGTTTGGCTGAATGTACTAGTCCACACGTTTGTAGACCCAGCCAAGTGAGATACCGTTTCGCAGTTTAAGACGATAAACACCACTTATAGATACTGTGTTCCGTATACTGATTCCGGCCCGACCAGTCTTTCTGACTGACTGACGGAGTTTTAAGCCGCTTTTAGCAATATTCCAGCAATATCACGGCGGGGGACACCAGAAATGGGCTTAACACATTGTTCCCATGTGGGGAATCGAACCCGGGTCTTCGGCGTGACGAGCCGACGCTTTAACCACTAGGCTACCCCACCGCCCCTCAGTCTTTCTGAAATATCCCAGCCGGGCGCCTGGTCGGGACACATCAAGTACTAACTTTGTATGACGCGGCCGGGGATCAAACTCCTGATCACCTGTTGTCCGAGCTGACGCTTATTCCACAAAACCAGGGCCGGCCATCGTCGCAATATCTTGAGGAAATGCATCTCATTTTCGCGTTTATAATGTACCCTGATTTGGCTACAGAGAGGTTACATCCAAACTTGTATACATGATTATTTGAACTTGGTTTCAACCAGTCGAAAGATGTTTTCATAGGACTAGACACAGTAATAAGGGGCCGTTCATAAGTTAAGGCTGGGGGTGGTGGTGGTGGTGGTGTGTGTGTGTGTGTGTGTGTGTGGGGGGGGGCAGTGATGATGATTTTATGGAGAAGCATGTACAATGTGAATGACCCCCAACATTTATGTACAAAATAAGTGACCCCCCTGCATGTCATGTACACAATCAATGACCCCCCTTCCCTTCCCATAATTTCTAAGCATAATTGTAAACATATTTTAGCTACGAAATCATATAGATTGAGCGGTAATACGTTCAGAAACGAATAAACAATTATAGAAACACGCGCGGCTAGAAGTGTTATATGGCAGCTATATGGCGGTGGTCTGTAAGTAATCGAATCTGGACCAGATAATCCAGTGATCAACAGCATGAGCATCGATCTGCGCAATTGGGAACCGATGACATGTGTCAACCAAGCCAGCGAGCCTGACCACCCGATCCCGTTAGTCGCCTCTTACGACAAGCATAGTCGCCTTACGAAAGCAGTGATTATACCAACAAAGACACTGATGGTAATATTCGCCTTGCTGCATCAATGAGTTGGACAGAAATCCAGGGTAAAATGATCTCAATGCTATTGTCTTGTAACTTGAGATGCAAAATGAGATGAGGGGCAAGTTCCTCATATAATAAAAAGCTTCCAGGCCTGTGGTACATTCTAGAATTTGTGTCGCGCAAGTCTAAATAAAGAACATTCGAATGATTGTCACCAAGTACAAAGTACCACTGCCACCTAACAAAATCTATGATTGATCTGGCCTAAAATCAAACACAAACGATATAGCTATTCAACGGTAATTTTGTTAATATCGAAAAGTTTTTTTATTTATTTTTTATTTGTTCCCATGGTTACAAAGTCAACAAACAAAGGTATACGGTAGCATCAGACACAGAAAAGGTGAAGATACATTGCTGTAAAGATGTAATCATAATTAGTAAATAATATTCGTAAATGCGTTTAATTGATGATGCATTATTGATGACGTATTAGGGATGACGTAATACTGATGACGTGTTATTGATGACGTATTAGTGATGACATATTACTGATGACGTATAATTAATGACGTTTTACTGAAGACGTATTATTGATGTAGTCGATGATATATCACGTGTCGTTTGTCTTGCAGGACGGAGTCACATTCACCATCTCCTGTGGGAGACGAACTGGTTATGGCAAAGTTTAATAGGTCATGGCCACACTTGTTTCGGGGACAACATTGCTTTGATCCAGGAGTGACATCATGTCTGCGAGAGTACGTTGTGTAGCAGCTGATGTCCGGAATGCTGTTGCCCCTCGCAACAAACTAACCATGCTGATTGCCATACTGCAGGAATTCTCGGCCAAGCACCGAGCTCTGTTCGGAATTATTTGGTGAAATATCCAAAGCCTTTGGTAACCTGAATAACCTGACCTCATGTACATGAATAGCCAAATCGTCATCGTATACATAGTGTGAATCATCTGTTGATGCATAGTAGAGTATACTATTCACAAGAAGTAAAGGAACACCCGATTCTTTCACACGACTTTGTTTAATCTGCTATACAGTGGACCCGTGAAGATCCGGGTTAGAATTGGCCTTCAGTAACCTATGCTTGGCGTAAGAGGCGACTAACGGCATCGGGTGGTCCGGCTCGCTGACACATGTCACCGTATCCCACTTGCTAGATCGAGCGCATCACTGGATTATCTGACCCAGACCCGATTACTTACTGACCGCCACCATATAGCTGGAATATTGCTGACTGCGGCGTAAAACTAAAGTCAGTCAATCACTGTTATGCAATGTCTTAAGATTTAAGAAGTAACAGCGTGTTATTTACCTTTTTTTTGAGCGGTATATATATGTTGAAGCAGTGTTTATGTAAACACAGAGGCCTTGAATTTAACGTCTTGTATGAATTATGTCACTTTTATAACAATATTATGACGTCATTCATGGTTGCACTTGATCGTTGGACCCGTGTTTGTCCCGGCTCAATGTACCCGCCGCAACACGCCCGGCCCAACGCACCCGGCCAAACACAGATCATACATATATACGGGGCGATAGGGTCGCCCAGTAGTTAGCGTTCGCTCGTCACGCCGATAACCGGGGTTCGATTGCCCATATCTGATGTCCCTCGTCGTGATATTGCTAGAATATTGCTAAAAGCAGCGTAAACCTAAACTCAGATCAGCGGATGGACTTGCGCACGTGCTCGCCAAAGCGTGAAATCTTTGATAGGCTGCTTTATCATAACCGAACACAGAACTTCAACAGGAAAATATATATATACTGAACCGCAAAAGAAACACCACACCGATAAAGGTTTCTTAAAGCAAACACTTTAATTCGCTCTTATTAACAATCAAAAAGGAGGACTTAGTTCAAACTTGACAATTATAGTTAACATCTTTTGGGGAATCATATTTAGATCTCGCACAAAAAAGATCACCAAACATGGTGCCATTGAGTGAGTGAGTGAGTGAGTTTAGTTTTAGGCCGCTTTTAGCATTATTCCAGCAATATCACGGCGGGGGACACCAAAAATGGGCTTCACATATTGTACCCATGTAGGGAATCGAACCCGGGCCTTCGGCGTGACGAGCGAACGCTTTAACCACTAGGCTACCCCACCGCCCCTGGTGCCATTGGGATACCTCAAGTCAGTATCGTGTGTGGCCTCCATTGGCACCGATGACGGCGTTGCATCGACTGTACAATGTTGCTCTGGCAGTGTGGGCACGAGCGTTGTCTTACTGGAAGATGTGATTTCTGTGACGTCCAAAATGTGGTACAGCGTGGGATCTTATGACTTGGTCAATATAGCGAGCAGCTGTCACGGCATTTCCTCATCCTGGACCAAGATTCTGGAACACCACGGGGCCAACTCTCTGGTTCAGACCGATTGCACCCCACGCCATGTTGCTTGGACAACCCCACGAATCTCTTTCAACAATACACGCATTAGAAAACCGTTCCCCACGTCTTCGCCATACTCTCACTCTGCCATCGGCTGTTGTAACACAATATCGGCTTTCATCAGAAAAAAACCCTCAGTTCTTCATTTTAGATAACGACAATGTCGATGCTGAGTTGCAGTCGGTTTGGGCGGTGAGGAGCGGTCTGTGGCAGCAGAGGTTTCTTCCGCGCAAACATCCACATACTGTATCGGCACTAATTGGTCTGTAATGAGTCCCAATTGTCCGGTGTGCTGTTTCCGTCCCTCAGATAAAGCGATGCTGCAGATGGTTGCGCACAGTCTGTCGGTCTTGACGTTGTGATGTTACTGAAGGTCGTCCACTGCGTGGATGGTCTTGGATGCTGTTAGTGGTCTGATACCGCTCCTGCAGTCGGTTATAAATTGTCCTAACATTAAAATGAATATTAAAACAACATTATAATGATTGGGTACCCTCAGTTCAGTCTGGCCAACTTGCAGTCGTCCCAAAGTAAGTCGTAAGTCGTAGCATGGCGATTGTGTCAAGACAAGAATTATTTCAGGCGAGTTTGGGACTCGGTTTCATTGGTAGGGTTGTCATGATATGCACGTGCATTTTAATTTTCACGAATGTCATACAGAACCTTTTACCAGGTCTGAATTTTGGGTGCGTTTGGTCGAGATGCTTTTTCATCAGAATATAACTGTCAATATAAATTGATAAACATGTTAACTAAACCATACAATCATAATAAAAACACCACCTTGTAAAAACTTTCTTTTGCACTTCAGTATATGAGTTCTTCTTCAATAAATATGCTGATGAATGCGTAAAAAAGTATTCTTAAGCCCGCAAAGGCTACATAAAAGTTGGAACTGAATATCATAGATTGCATTATTGTAAAATCGCAAACAAAGCATGTACTACAAACAGGTACTACAAGACAAATTGATGAACACAAACACGCATAAGGAAATATATTTCTTCTCCTAAAGAGATCTGGAAAATATTTAACGGAAAGACGACATCATTGTTTATAGTCCCATTCCAGCTGAGGATAGTTTTGAAAAATCTATTAAAGACATTAATTGTACAAAATGTGATGAGAAGCAGTTAATAGACGTCACGGAACCAGTACTTAATAAATGTACCTCAATGGAAGAGACCAAAGAGGGAATTAAATCGTTGAAACAAGAAAACATGTGGATTAGATTTCATAGAAACAAGTTGATGTATTTGATGTATTGATGTATTTGAACTGCTATTTGCGCTACAGCAGATAGGTGTAACGGTGTAACCTCCTCCTGATTAATCACTGTATTCCATTTCATTAAACCTTATAGTCCTTGGTGTTGCCCGCCGTGATGTAAAACCTAACTCAGTCAGTCAGTTACAGTCCTTGTTCTGAATGCTGTACGTATTTTAATACAGTTAATGCCAATCAATAATGCAGCTTTTACATATCATCATAATTACAGCTGTGACGATATATCGTAGTATCGATAATCGTGATACTTTATCTGACGATAAATATATCGATACGTTTTTTCGTATCGTGATATGTATCGTTGACCTTAACATTGTTAATTTTCATTAGATATTGACGGTTATGTCAAATTTCTTGCTATTAAAATATGACTTTTAAAGGAAAATAACTAAAGAAAGCATATCGTGATATGCATTGAATCGAATCTTATCGTTCCAAGATATCGCGATACGTATCGTATCGTATCGTGAAATTTCTGTATCGTCACGCCTCTAATCATAATAGACATCTCAGCTTATAACCATCCAAACACAGTTCCCTTCAGATGCACTAATTAACTCATCAATTTTGGGAGATGTTTTCAAATAGGTGGGGAAATTGCCAGGCCATAATATTCTTGGGTTGGGAAATGTCCAGGTGGGGAAATGACCTGGGCCTCCTTTCACGAACCAACCTTTACTAAGGTTAAACATTGCACTAAGGTTACCTTAGTGACTTACGATCACCTTAGTGCTTTGTGAAAGGACAACCTGGTAGGGAATTGCCCAGCATCCACTGTCTCTCGTGGTATTTAAGAGACCACCTGATGTTTTAGACTTACCTTTATGATTAATAGTTATAAACAACAAGTTAAATTGAGTGAGTTAAAATTTAACGTCACCTCGGCAATATTTCAGCAATATAGTGACGAACAAGAAGTTAAAAACAACAATGGACAGACAAAGAAACTCCAATGGGCACATAAAGAGGCTACGGCATTCCCTTGGACTTATTGGTGTGATGACAGACATGACCAAGTGGATAACCAATTATCTGTATAATTGACGGTTACTGCGTAATAAACATGACGAACTGAAACCAAACACTTTAAAAAAATGAAAGCGTTCAAAAGTAGTAATTCTAAAAGATAAAACGTTGCCCAAACAGAGGGTTTTAAAGTCACTCTGAGACACGAATAACTCTAAACACATGATGGAACTTGGCTGTCGAACACGGCATCAGTCGAAAGACGTCCCCTGTATCTCTCCGCTTGTGGATTGATCTAAGATTCTCGTTTCACCTTGACATGTCTATTGAACTCCTGGGTGCCGGACACAATGCCATACGGTCGTAAGTGGTAGATGTAAAACTCCAGAGCGTACATCGTCTTTGGGGGCACGTAGTGGAAGGTTATGGCGTAGTCGGAGATGCTGTCTATACCCTGAAATATAATATGTTTCTCGTGAAAACTTTACTTAATGCTGATGAATACTTTTGTGTCGATATTCGTCCGGGACACATTTATTGAGAACTATCGTACTTCCGTGTACAGTGAAACCCGTCTAAACCGGTTCGAATACAATGCCGGATTAGACAGCGACGATCATTTTCCAACATGGCTGCCATTTACACTCGTCAGTCTCCGCACAATCACTACTTCCTGATTTTCTAGCGTGCCGAGAGGAGCGTATTAAATTATGGGACCTTGATTGGACTGCTCATACCCATGCTAGCTTAGAGCGTTCAATTCAACGCGCAGTCACCACACACGCGATTATCTAGCGTGCCAAGAGGAAATAAAATGCCGATTTAGACAAGTGCTGGATTAGACAATGTTTTAATGATCCTAATATCGTTGTAAAATGTCGAGACCAAAATATTATGCCGGCATGCCGGCTTAGACAGGTGCCGTTGTTGGCAGGTTTCATTGTATTTCATGGTTAAAACAACATATACTGGACAAAAATAGTTAGGGATATATGTAAATTTTGAAATTTTGAATAGTGATCTAATTAGAAGATAAATTATTTGGTTTGTTCAATTTCCGGGACTCATTGGAATTCAACATAGGCAAATTTAGTGTAAAACCGACGGCGTTAGCCGGAGGTTTTAAACGTTAAAATTTGCCTATGATTCTTCCAAGAATTTGTCGTCTCAAAGATTGTATCAAAATCCCAGAGAAAGAATTTGAGGTGGTAATGTTCCTCAATTATGCAAATTCATGCAGCGAAAATAGTACGGTATTAATGCCAACTTATTAATGTGCGGTTATTAGGCCATCATTTTCGGGTATGTCGAACAATATTCGACAAGTGTAATTAACCAATCAGATTGCGGAAAAAACTCACTATTGGTTTACAATCCTTCATTGACACACTGATAAAATATCAATCTTAAAAATATCAATATCCCTAACTTATTTTGTCCAGTATATAACGTTAATGTTATACCTGATTTTCATAAACTGGGTTGATTTACGCTCACTGTGGACGTGTGGATATACAAGGGCGGAAGAAGTGCTTCACATCATAAATGTTGTAAATCTTGCGTCATCATCAATTACATGACTCACAATGCTACTACGTCAAAAACCTGATGACATCACAATGCTATGACGTCATAACTTGATGACGTCACAATGCTATGACATCGCTGTATTGCAAGTCTAATGGCAGTAAAATGTTCAGAGATGTATATTTTTCAGAGAAATCAGTAAATGAAGAGTGATTTGTGATGATAAGTAGAATCTCACACTCGTATCTTCTGGTATCAAATATATCAACACTCGTTGAAAAAAGTAAAAATATGCTCGGCAAGCGTCTAATATTTGTAACTTTATCAACTGGTGTTGAGTGAGTGAGTGAGTTAAGATTTATAGTCACATCTGCAAAATTTTGGCCATATCGTGACTTAAAAAGTTATAAATTGATAATAAATGGAATTTAAATTACAAAAACCTGTCGACGAAGGACAGTAAAATAACTAGATTATCACAGACAGAAACGTAAAACCAGTAATCAAATCTAAAACATTTTGACTATAGAGGACAATACAATATTAAACCAGGCTATAGATTGCCAACAACTGAAGGTAGATCACCATACTAGGGACCATGGGGACTTACAGTACATTTGCTTCCTACATGGACCCTAGCTGGATTTACACCATCCCATCAGCCGCTGGCGATTGTAGTAAAAATTGAGCCGAAATTTAAAAGAACAAAAACACTACGTTTAAAAATCTGGTAAGCTTAAATTTAACTTTGAAAGTTTTGGGACTTACGTACCCTCTCAGTCGGACCAACTCGTTTTGATATAATCGATATCAGTAAACACTTGGGTGAGAATATCTATATATATATATATATATACAACTGGTATTAAAAGATATTGTACACCACACGTTCCCGATCGAATGTGGCTAGACTCATACACAGTGACAGAAGGGAGACAGCGACAGAAGGGAGAGTGACACTCCCGAACCAACGAGTTGCTGAATAACAAAATTAGCACTCACTCACGTATTCATGCACCTGCAAACTGGGAATGACGAATGCACGAATATATATGTGGATACAGATATCCATAGTCCCATCAGATGGACATGGGGATCCATACTCCCAACCGGTAGTTGTACTGTACACATTCCCGATTAATGGAAACAAGTATCATACTTAATGTGGCAGTATTTAATACAAGTCCATTCCAGATGCATGAATGAGGCTGGAAGATGAAGTTAAAACTCAGCTGATCGATTCAGCTTTACTTATTCGTACAACAAGTTTGAATCCAGTGCTGATTGTATGATTCATTTGACCAACTCTTATAACGGCTTTGTCAGACTGCAATGGGATAAATATAAGTTTTCCCTGGAGAAATACAACATTGTGTGTTTAGCGTACCTTCTTAGCACCATTTGCATCGTACTTGTAAAACCACTCTGGGTATACACCCATCACGTGTGCCTCTGGCTTAAAACAGTGGAATCTGCTCCTCCCGAGAGCGTCTGTTGTGTTGACTGTCCTCACTCCCAGGTTCTCCATACATCTGCCGAACGCTACATCTTCTGCACCACCATCAGGCCTGCACAGTTTAGGATCGTGTCCCTTCTCCCCATATCTCCTCAACGCCTCCTTACTCAGCACATACCCTCCTCCGCCACTGTAGTACCCTTGTTTGACATTTACCTTGAAATGATGGCCAAAAAATACAGGTTCGGATTTGTTTTGGGACGTCAGAAAGTATCGGAGATTTTCTAAAATAACATATGTGTCATCGTCAGCTTTCATGAACCAGTCAGCATCATCAAAGTGGTTTTCGTAAATGTAGCGGAAAGCCTGCATCGTTTTGGCCGTCAGATGCTCCCGCCCTTCCGTCACGTTTAATCCGATTGTAGGAAACTTTGGATCTGTCACAGAGCTCATGAAGAGGACTTTGTTGCAGCGCCTACTCCACGTGTCACGAACGACACGTGTTTTAACATCCAGGTTCTTTGGTGACGTCATAATCCAGCAGAGCACTCGCTCCTTTTGATATAGAGCCTTGGATATGGCATCATTATCTGTTCCAACAAAGAAGGAACCAGTTACTATTCTTTGAGATATTTTTATCAAACAATGTCATACATCAAGAGTGTTTGACTCAGTAACTTCCCTCTGTGGCGGTGTCCTCCCACAACTTTACACTTTATTACTGCAAGGAACCACCAACAGTGGTACACGAGTTACATGTTACACATAGTTATATAGAAGTTACAGCAAGATGGCGTGCACAACATTCAGAAATTTTGACAGTTTTTTTCAGGACATGTATCTTATTATTCCCAACAAGTTGCTTATATTTTGACATGTTAGGCCATTTATAATAATAATCACTGATAATAGAAGAACGTTCATTCGCCAATGCTTTACATCTAAAAACTTAGTGGAATTCGTCGCCAATTTGTTGAGAGTTACACAATGTACAAAATCTCTCTTCATGTTCGACCAGCGACCCTGTTCTATAGGCAATTTGTGATTACTTGTTCTAAAATATAGTAAAGGTTTATAAATGTTATCCGTGAGCAATAAATACTTTTCAAAACATGGTGAATCTTTAATAATGGAATAGTAGAAACCTTTCGGAGGAATCCCGAATGGCACTTCTCCAGGACTGCAAAAACTGGTCCTTTAAAATTAGAACCACTTTTGCAGTTAACCATTCTTTTGAAAAAATATATGGATATTCAAAACAATGCGGGATACCACAAGTTCTTAAAATATCTTTGATGTAATTTAACCAAGGATAAGAATAGCCATGTGTACGTTTACTAATAATGTAATTTAGCATAAATGAGGCAATTGTATTGGTAGGATTAGGACATGATAATTTGCACCAGTATGCTATAGCACGTTTATCTATTTGTATGCGTAACGGTTCTCTCCCATATTCACCGTAATACATATAGTTGTCTGTTGACATCCTCAGACCTGCTACAAGCTTTAGAAATGTCAAGTTTACACGTTCAATTAGATTAGTGTCCTCAAAGCCCCAGATTTCACAGCCGTATTGTAAGACCGGAAGAACAACTTTATCGAAAGAAGAGATAAGACAATCCAAAAGTAAATGTAAATTTCTCGCTCGTTTTAATAAAGACATTGAGGCTTTATTACCCATATCTGCAGCGTGCTTGAAAGCAGTTATCATTCTTCCGTTTCTATGAAATGTTATTTCGTGGTACTTAAAGGTATAAAAAATGTCCAGGTGGCAATGATTATAGAGGAATTTGTTTTAATTTTTTGCCCGCTGAACCCGATCCAAATATAAAATATTTTTGTTTTATCTGAGTTAACTTCAAGTTTCCAAAATCACAATAACGTGAAAACCAATCAAGTGCCGTCTGCAGATGGTAGTTACTTTCGGCTACAAGTACAGTGTAATCAGCATAAAGCAACACTAAAAGTTTAAGGTGGATGGTCAAGTGATCATTATCGTATTCTAGCTTCAGACCATCACACCGATTACAAGTTAGATATTCTTCAAGATCATTAAGATACAATGCGAAAAGAAGAGGAGATAGGTTTTCTCCTTGACGGACCCCCGACAGACATGGAAGGCAGCTTGATTTCATCTTATTTATCATAACACATGATTTAATTTCATTATACATATTTCGGATAAGATTAAATGTTTAACCTTTTACCCCACAGCGTAATAGTTTTGTCCAAAGTCCAGCCCGCCATACCTTGTCAAAAGCCTTAGAGAAATCGATGAAAGCACAATATAACTTCTTGCGTCTATTTTGCAACGAAGTAATAAGACTCTGTATAATAAAAAACATGATCTGCTGTTGAAAAACCCTTTGCGAAAGCCCGATTGCGAATGGGAAATGATTTCAAAGTTTTCACAGAATTTGGTCAGTCGTTCATTGAGAATGGAAGTATATAGTTTGCCGAAACAGCTAAGTATCGAAATTGGGCGGTATGAATTTGGATCATCGGCGTTTCCCTTTTTCTTATAAATTGGCTTAATAATACCTGTAAGCCATGCATCGGGTAAAATACCAGTATTTATATTACTATCAAATTGAAATAGTCAGTATATACAGCTAATAATGTAGGAGAGTTGCAATCAGGTATTCATTTCGTATCACATCTAAGCCAGGTGTTTTGTTTTCCTTGAGTTTGTTTAAAGCGGACAGTACTTCATTCTCTGAAATAACTCCATTTAAAATCAAATCATCATATTCTGGGGTATCATCAATATCAAATTCACCATTCACACTTCCACTTATTTCCGTCTCATTTATTTTCTGAAAGTAATCATGAAATTCTTCAAGAGATATTTGATCAGTGCTGTGCATATGTTTAGGGTTCAAAATTTTCCAATAATGTCTAGGTGACGCTTTAATATTGTCTCGAAAACCTTTTCTGAGAAAATGCACGTTCTGCTTTACATATTTATTCATACACAGCTTATATTCCCTACTTTTAAGTCGCAACATGCTTCTATTGCTGTCACTTTTGTTTCTTGAATATGCATTCTTTGCCCGAAAGAACTGGCTTCGCTTTTCTTTACAATCTTCACCAAACCACGTTTTGTTGACGCGCGTTGCCTTACGTTTGATAGTAGCGTTTTCCTTATTAGGAGCATGCGCAAAAGAAGTCCGTGCTGAATCAAGAAGCACGTGCGTAATTTCGTTGGCTAACGAGTTTATGACCTCAGCCAGATCACATTGACCTGGCTGTGTTGACCTTATTTTATCAATGACTTTGTTTACACTATGCTGCTGCAGTTCTTCCTTAAATACTGGCAATTTGCTATTTTCAAACTTGCCTGGTTCTTGTAGTAGCTTCGTTATTAATGTTTACACACTGTACACTATCACAATCAACTTGATCTTGAAACTGATTAATACCGAGACTGAAGCTGACAGGGCAATGTACATCAGAGAGTATGGGACAAAAATCATTAACACTAAAATGTGAAAATAATGGCAAAGATCTTGCAGAGGACAAAACATAAGCAACAATACTTGTATCATTAAAAGTTGTATTGCTTTCCAGACTATCAGGGGCGGTGGGATAGCCTAATGGTTAAAGCGTTGGCTCGTCACGCCGAAGACCCAGGTTCGAATCCCCACATGGGCACAATGTGTGAAGCCCATTTCTGGTGTCCCCCGCCGTAATGTTGCTTGAATATTGCTAAAAGCGGCGTAAAACCAAACTCAGTCAGTCAGTCCAGACTATCACAGCCAAGTCGGCCATAACATATAAACAAATTATGACATTTGCATAATCGATAAGTTTATGTCCATAATTGTTTGGGCTACCTCTGTCCTTTGTATCTCTTTGCCTTGGTAAATTGAGATCAAATAATACAGATTCAGGATCTAGCTCTGGTCCCATCTCATCTATGTCCAGTTCTAAATCATTTATTATGTGAAAATAATCCTGTACTCTTTTGGTCCTTGCATTAAAATGCCCAGTGAGTATAACAAAGTCAGACTCTGACTCAAAGGGACATAAACTATTTTCAATATCTTGGAACATGTCTTCTCTATAGTATCTAGAGCTTTCAGGTGGAATGTATACTACACCTATAAACAAGTCCTGGGTACATGAGGCAGTTTACCAGATTCTCTCAGCCACAACACAGTATCAATATCATAATCAACAATGGACACATAGTCACTATATTCTTCTTTGACAGCCGCACCTATCCCACCGGATCTTCTAGCGAATGACTTTCTTTTTTTCAGGTACACTTTATAACCACAATAGCAATGTCATCTAAAGAGTCTTAGTTTCATGTAGTCCTGCAATATCATATAAACTCAACAAAATCAGGGTAATCTAGCCTCTTTCTCAGGCCATACACATTCAAGCTGACACATTTCAGGTCATCAGGTTGGATCACAGCTCCAGTTCTACATCTTGGTGCAGGATTGCAGAAATTAGCTGTTGTTTGATGAGGATCATGCTCAGTACTGCCGTCCTCCCTCTAGTTAAGTCTTGGTGTCGCGGCTTGTCTGGGGGTGGAGTCTACTAATGTATACGGGGAATAACGCCTACAGTCTTAAATAAACAATCTTACGCACCAGTGGTTACAAATTGCACTGCCTCTACCCTTTCACTAAAGTGGTAGGTCCCCACTTCATTGTGCACTGATGCCTACAGGGAATACAAAACACAGACTTTTAAATGACATTTTATAAGATTTAATCATATCATCGTTTTCATTTCTTAACACAAAATTACATTACATTACATATTATTGAAATTTTAATTGAGATTACATTACATTATAAATCATATAATTGAATTATTAATTGAAATGACATTACCTTACATTCTAAATCATATATTACATTATAAATCAACATGAATTATTTACAGATGTACAAATATACAACTGACTGAGTTTGGTTTTACGCCGCTTTTAGCAATATTCCAGCAACATCACGGCGGGGGACACCAGAAATGGGCTTCACACATTGTACCCATGTGGGGTACAAATATACAAACATACAAATATACAAATATACATTTCTGATGACAACTGAAGTCATTCATGCTGTTTGAGTCATTTACGCCAACTTAATGAAATGTCAAGCAGCTGAGAGGAATCCTGCTGGTAGGCTTTGCTGAAGCCGAGAGTCTGAACCTTCCTCCAGAGAGCCTGTGTGTAGTGGAAGTAGTAGCCACGGATGTCACAGTTGGGGAAGACGGTCTCAACAGCGTTGATGCCGGCGATTTCGAAATCAGTCTGGATGACATCAGGCTGAAGGGGGGATCCTGTTGTCTGTTGTACCTTGTCGCTCAGGTGCGGCGTGGGCGGTTGGGCAGCAGACAGAGTAGAACGTGCCGTCCATGTAGAGGGTGCCGACTACTTGTAGGAGGGTCAGGCGGTCACTTGTGGCGAAGCAGATGATCCTGTCGTCGTCTCCGTCGTCTATGCAAAGGAAGGGCAGTCTATCAGAAGTTTCCTTGAAGCAGTCTGGTAGATTCACCTCGCTGAGCGGCATCGTCTTTCGTCTCTGCTTGTAGAGTCCACTCTTCACTGAATAGAAGGACTTGACGGTCGCTGCTTCATCTCGGTCCAGTCTTGAAATCTCCTCGTCGTAGATGGTCGGTACTGGCATTAACTCAGTCTGTACCCGTCGCCGCAGAGCACTGGCAATCTTCAGAGCCGCTTGATCTTCCTGTGGATGGTTGTGTGGGGACTGATTTCGAACAAACTGTCCGACAGTGGTAAACTTACACCAAGGCAGCCTCCATGAACACACTTCCAGTGTACGCAGGTCTGTCGTCGGTTGTTGAGTCTGTACCTGTAACCTGTATCTAGTAGTATCTGCTGTCCTCCTTCCTGTGATGTGAAGTACTCGACTGTCATTGGGTTTGCCATGGTTAGCAAAGAAGACTTTGGTTACAAGCATTTTAAAGCAATACATCTCCTTCTCAATGGAGGAGGGGTGGGTACAGGGCGTTGTCCACGTAAAGTTTGTTCACGACAACATGAGTTTTCTTGTTGTTTTTCCTGGCTTCCCTCATAAGTGGGAATAAGACATCTCTCCTATATTCACTCACTTCGTCAGGGAACTGCTCCACCATTCGGTATGGCTTACCCTGGAGTTCCCTGCCTGCCCTTTTCACTCTATCCCTTTCTGCAGTTATATTGAACTTAGCTATAATGGACCTAGGTCTGGTATAACCGCCACTAGCTCTCCATCGGGGCCCATATTCTATGGACTCGTTGGAAGATTATCTGATCAGCATCAACCTTAAATTCATCCTTAATAAATGTTCTCAGTATCTGTTCAGTATCTTCGGGGACTTGTGGTATGTCTTGTTCTTCGAATCCAGTGAATATAAGATTATCTCTCATTGATCTACAACGTAGATCTATCCTTGGTTCGAAGATTTTGTGCCTGTAGATCAACAATCAACTTGGGTTGCTCTTAGACTTGAAGCACCTGTAAATCCCTCTCCAGCTTTTGTTTATCAACAGACCAGTCATCAAACTTAGAACTGACGAATTCTACACTCCTTTCAACAGTATCTACTTTAGACTTGAGATCGTCTAGCTGTGCTACTTTGATCTCTAGGCGAGAAACTTTACTTTGGATATCAGAGACAGATTTGTCGATACTGTCAAGCTTGGAGAGTTTTGTCTCTATATTACTGAGTGAAGTAAGTATCGGTGACAAACCAGCAGATTGAGGATTTACAGAAAGTGGATGGAGATTCTGTCCAGGATTAGTTTGGGCAGGCGGTGATTGGAAGTCGAGGGGTGATTGTGGTGTCATGGAGTGACAACATTGACTCTCTCACTGCCGCGTTGATGTTTCCTTGTGACGTGTCACTCTGCGGCCTAGTGTCGTCCACATTTCCATCCGTTTCGGGAGTATTAGCGGGCCTTTTTCTTTTTAGTTTGGGCTCCTGGGTTGGAGTTTTATTTGTGGTACTCATTTTCTTGTGTTAATTGGAACAGATAAGTTGATTTCTGGGTGAAAAGAAACAAGTAAGCTTCGGGGCTTTCAAAACACAACCTACCCGGCCATCTTGCTAACGCAGACAAGCAGTTCGCAGACGCCTTAAAACAACAACATTTACGGTTCAATGAACAGATTAGCTACTACCTGTTACCTGCACGTTATAATGGAATAGTTGAAACACAAAAAAACAAGAAAAAAACTGGAGCTATATTATTTACTTTGAAAGTTGGCCGAAAAGACATTAAGTTGAGTTTTGATTGTTGCAATATAAAAACAGTTGATTTTCATAAACATTTGGGTTTTAACCTTCTCGTGTAACTGAAAACATTGTCAAAGAGACATCGAAAATGATTGGAGCATTTCAGAATTTAAAGTTCCTACTAAATAGAACAACACCGATTTTTCATCAGGATTTATTCTCACCTGTCGTAGGCAACCGGACAAGCTATGAGTTAAGAAACTCCAATAATTTTAGCCAACCATGTACGAGACTGAGGAGCTCAACATCATCGTTTATTCCATCAGCAGTTAAAGTGTGGAATAATATTCCCTTAGCTGTTAGAAATTGCGACTCTGTTGCATCATTTAAATTTTATATATGTGTGAAATAAAAATGTGCACCTAAATATTATTCATATGGAATAAGGAAGTTAAATGTTTTGCACGCAAGATTAAGATATATATGACGAGTACACTTAATTATGATTTATTTAGAATAAATATAAAAAAAAATGACGCATCATGTCAATGTGGCCATGGATGTGAGAATGTTTTTCATTACTTCCTTGAATGTCCATTGTATACTACTCAAAGACACAAACTGTAACAATCTTTAGAAAGTATTGTTGAAAATAGAACATTGATTGGTATTAATCTTATCTTACATGGCAATGCAGGTCTCTCAATTACTGAAAATTAGAATGTTTTCAATTATGTACATATCTATATCTCTCAAACAAAACGGTTTCTCAGTACATATCCTATTATTGGGAGAAGGCTTTTCTAAGCTGGATAACTTGTGCCTAATCATTTTCTTGAATGAACAAGATATGTTTCAATTAATTAACACAACCAAACCTCTCAGTGACAAACCTGTTTTAATATTCGATAGTAATTGAAAGTAAAAACAATTTTGAGAAGAGGAGACATATTATCATTTAATCACAACAAAGTTCTATTTACGCACAATCATACTTCTTAGTAACGAACCTGTTTCAGGCTCTCTCAATTCTGCTCACTAGACAGTAGACTGTTCCATTAAACCCGTAAGTGTTACCCTAATTAACCTTCTATACTACCCACCAAAAGTTTAGTCTCACGAGTGTAAATGTAGCCACTTACTTCAGTCAACTGTTCTAAACTAGATTTTGCTAAATATTTCATAATGTTTAAAGGTACTGTTTACACATGAACTGATGTATTGTAAAACAAATCCGTAACGTTGAAAAACATTATTGTCATGAGTTCAATAAATCGTGAAAATTGGCGAATTCTTAAAAAAACTTGACACCTAAACGCAGCTGTTCACATGCACGATATATGCACATGCTTTTCAGAAAACCGATGCAGGATCCTCGTGGAATTCATCTGCATAAGGTTTGCAGATGGTTCCCCTAAGTTAGTGGAGAAATTCATCTTAAATGTAACCGAATCTATATACATAACATTTAGCGAGTGCTTTAAGTGAGTCTAAACTTTTGATGGGTAGTATAGTTCAGTGTCTGTCAATCGACTGCCTGTCAAATGGGCGTCTGTGAATTGGGAGATAATCTCTGTGGCACTTGTCTCTGTCACAGATCACCGATTTCATAGGCCACAGAGTTTCAATTAACAAGGTGTAAAATGCTTTCATTAAGTGGTGTGTCCTGTATATAATATTGCAATTAATTTACATCGAAATGTTTACACATGCTCTATTACATGTGGAACAGATGTACTGCGTAACATCAAAGGGTATAATTAACATGTCTATTTAGTATTGTTCTTATGCTGATTGAATTGAACAAAAGGTCGATCCTTCATATGTGCTAATGTATGTTTTCTTATGGTTGTGGCAGAGGCTTAGGTTTGTCTCATCTGCTTGCCTCTATAAGACATTCTCTAAAGTGAGCACTGACCGTTTTTCTAATTTCCATCATCATGACTCAAGAGAAGCTTAAATACCTCAATGACATTGAAAAGTGGTTGACAAGTGAGAACTGCGAGGGAGTGAGTGTCTCAGGTTTGACTGACAATGCTCTGATATATACTACCCATCAAAGGTTTAGACTTACCGAAAGCATTCGCTATATATGTTATGTATATATATCTGGTTACATCGAAGATGAATTTCTCCACAACTTGGGGAACCAACTGCAAATCGTATGCAGATGAATTGCATGAGGATCATGCATCCATGCATCAAATTGATGAAAAGCACATGCAAATATCGTGCAAGGGAACATTTGCGTTTTGGTGAAAAGTTTTGTTAAGAATTCGCCAATTTTCACCGAGTTTCATCTTTTATTGAACCCATGACAATAATGTTTTCAAAGTTACGAATTTGTTTTACAATACGCCAGTTCATATATAAACAGTACCTTTAAACAGTATGGCCTATTTTGAAAAATCTAGTTTAGAACAGTTGACTGAAGTAAGTGGCTTACTTTACACTAGTGAGTCTAAACTTTTGATGAGTAGTATATGTACAGTTGTTGTTACTACTCCATGCTGACGATACAGTCTTGTTTGCTACAATCCCTAAATCTTTGCAACACTCACTAAACTCTTTCACAAGATACAGCGGCAAATGGAACCTTGACATTAATATCGTTTATACTAAAATAGTCATATTTGTAAGTGGCAAAAGAAGAGTTAATAAGCTATCATTTTTCATTGAGAAAAAAAATGAGATTGTTGACCATTATTGTACCTTGGATTTGTATTTCACAAAAATAGAAAATTTACCTTCGGTTTGAACTCATTAGCTGTGAATGCCACAAAATGTATGAGGGTGTATATACTTTCAAGGAATGCTCGTAACCTTGATCTACCACTAGACTGTACGATCAAATCCTTCGATGTCATGATACTCCCAATTCCTTTGTATGGTGCAGACATTTGGGGTATTCAAATTCAAATATAAATATTCTGGAAAAGGTACATCTGAAGTTTTTAAAGTTAGCATTAGGTCTTAAAGGGTCTACACCTAACTTTATGGTGTATGGCGAGCTAGGCTGAAAACCATTAACAATTCCGATAGCTAAAAGAAGGATAAACTACTGGCATAAACAAGTGTCAAGAACGGATAAAGTATCGTGTGGCCTGTTAACTTTTATCACATCAGATGTATCTTTTATCTATCACCTTGGATTAGCCACATTGAATCAATTTTAAACAAATGTGGTCTTTCATATGTATTACTATGCCAAGCCTATATGACAGACAGTGGTTGGTTAGTATGATCGACACGATTCTCAGTGATCAATTTTGTCAATCATGGAACAGCTCAGTTACTAACAGATCAAATGGCTTTTACTATAAATATTACAAGAAATCACCTAAATTTGAAAATTACGTTTATCTACCCAAATCTATTTCTTATCCCTTACTTAAATTTAGAACTACAAATCATAACCTACCAACTGAAAAAGGTCGCTGGACCAATACGCCAAAAGAAAATAGAACCTGCAACCTTTGTAATTCATCAGCCATAGCAGACTAATTTCATTACATTTTTGCTGTACATCACTGGAAAGTCATAGAAAAAAATCTTATACCAATTAAATATGACAAAAATGCCAGCCTCCACTCTTTGAAATTACTCTTTTTATTCAGTAAAAGAAAGGAACTGAAATCCCTTGCAAAATTTATAAAGATTATAGCAACAAGAGTGTCATAGCCTTTCTCTATCATGGTTGTTGTACCCATTATATGTACTGCCATCTTGCACATCACAATGT